TATATATATATAGCATGTCCACAAAAGAACACGCCCGGGTTCTCTGTGACATCAAAGCAAATGGGGCATTCATAAGCATCCGTTGCTTTCAGTCCTTCGACCACCTTGGCATCCAGGTGTTCTGCAATGCGAAGTAACGCATCCATATCCAACTGCGTACCTGGAAGTTGGATGAAGTCTTCGCCTGCAATCACAAGGGTCGGGTGACAGCAGTTCTGTCGCAGACATTTGATTTCGAAAGCATGGGAGATAGTCATGGTGAAAGCCCACCAGCTTATCCTCCAATTCACTTCGCCATTGCCTTGACAACCTGGATCGCCTTTTAGTGAACGACGGCGACGTCAGGCTCGACATCGAGGCCGACGGCCATGAAGGTCGTGGCTATCACGGCGCAGGACTTCCTGTTCAAGGTCCTTGTCAGTGGCAATCCATTGAGCGCAGACATCTTCCAATCGTTTCCGTTCAACGCCACAGTCATTCGGTTGATTCTGCACGTTCATCGTCTGATTCGTCTGATCTTGCATTTTGGAAGTAAGGCCTGCGACTTCCAGCTCCTTGAATTCATTGACCTGAGTGCGATCAAGCTCATTAGGACAGAGACGGTCGCCCGAGATCATCATCCCAGCTTCGGACATCAGCTAACATATCTCCACCGCAGGTACCGAGGCCTCCGGCACTGAGTCAATGTCGGCCATGTCACGTAATGTCAATGAGCATTTGCCGTTAGACCCATTGGACTCGGTTGACTCTGAAGTACCGTGGTCCTCAAATTCATCTCAGCACCGCCCATGAGTGCCAGCGGCACTTTCTTATTTCTTCGTTCGTCGAACCTCGAGCGAGCATGGCCAACGTGATTCCAGACATTCTTGACGGTGCTGTACCCAGTTCGCCTGACACCATCGGAGAGTTGCATACGACGCAGCGCCTCTCGAAATCGTGTGTGCTTGAATGTAGCGACCGGTGACTCGACGCATCAGCGTCAAGAGAAACTCCGCACCCAGGGGTTCGTTGACAAGGAGGCGCCAGCCCAAAGGGTACCTCAGGGGCCACAGGTTCTCCTTCGTCGTTCTTCTCCCATCTTAACGCCCAGGTCCAGTCATTGCCTACCCTAACAGTATAGGGTGTGCATCGGGGTTCGTTGAGATCTTGAGAGATATTTGCATTCGCCACAAGTACTGCAGGTTGCGGAGGTCCCTGTGTTTCAGTCTCTTGATCGTCCTCAGGTATGATAGTATATTCTCGTCCCTGCTCTTGAAGTTCTTGCGCATGAGGTTCTTCAGATCCCTCATCTTGTTGGGTCTTTTTTTGCCAAATCGAGCTCGAGCTCTATTGTTCGGAGGGGGGACACGGGAGGATTGTGAGCGGCGGGGAGGAGGCAGGAGAGGGCACGAGCTGGAGGAGCCAGGTATCGATGAGGCAACTCGAGAGACCGAATTCGCAGTGTGAGAGGATAACGGCTGCTGGCGCAAAGTACTTGTGTCTTTCAGGTTTTCGACGGATCATAGGACTGTGCTTTGTGCCAGGTGATTGGACGGCTGTTAGTTTTCAGAGCATCCAGCTGTCCGTGACGATTGTTGAGTAGAAAAGGCTTGGTTCAGGGGATTCTCTGCAGAAGAAGGCATCAAGCATGTGGAGGTCGTCGTCTCTTTCATTGCTTGACTCTTGCCGAGATGGCTGTCAATTACGCTTTGAGTTTCGAATGTTCATTCCGGTGCCTTGTAGGGACATGTCGACCAAGGCGTGTCAGGTCGTGGAAGAACAATGTGACCGCGAGAACCTCCGCGCCTGCATTACGTTGCTGCTCGGCTCGGCTGGCTAGGATCATCATGTCGTTTTGTATCCCGGCTCTTTCTGCGTCATAGGCTTGCCCCTAGGCACTCCCCAGAAAGGTTGTTCTCGGGGGGCCCGGCTGCTTTTCCATCCTCGGGGGACTGTGAAGGATTCGCACCGTCAGCAAGTGTGCTCGTCTGGGAGGAACGCGTGGAACATGTGCGTACAGCTGATGCAGGAGAGTAGATGCGATACCAGGCCTGCTGATTTGAAGGCATAATGAATGAATGATCGATCACCCTGCCGGGAAAAAAATGAAGTGGTGAGCTGTGAAGTTCGCAATCTGCGATGCGTAGTCTGCGGAGCGCAGAGCTGAGTGGCGATCAGGGTCTTTAAGGGCGCGATCACAGCTTCGGAGGTGACAGAATTGAGGAATAACGGTGCGATGATGAATGGACCGATGGACGAATCGATAAGTGATAATGAAGTGACGGATGACGGATGAGGGTGATGTGGATGGATGCTCGTGGTTCGTGTGGCTCAGTGAAAGCCGGTGTGTCAAGGCAGTCAAATTGAACTTGTTGGCTTGAGCGGGTTCGGGAAGAGCGCAGTGGTTCTTGGTTCGGTGCGATGGCATGCAAGTTGGGCGGAGTTCTGCTGAGCGTGCTGAGGCCGGGTGAATTGGACGGGTCTCAGAAAGTATGGTACCGGCACCCTGAGAGTGATTTCTGCTGTTCCAGGTTGCAGCGTGATAGCGCCTTTCTAGCCGACCGTGTATCAATGAGACATCCGGAAGATTGCGAAATGCGTTGCGTTGGGTCGAGGATGGATCAGTAACATGGATTAATGCGCCTATCCCCCGCCAGGCCGCGGCACATCCACGATGACTCTCATTGGCTGGTTGCCATCGCCGGTCCATCCCATGCAGAGACACCCACGAGAGGGGAAAAGCCCGACGACGAAGCAACTTGGCACATTCAACCTTGGGTGCATAGCGCCGAACAGCCTTCATGTGGCCCTCGATCATTGCCCAAGGATTAGGGGACACTCGGTTGACCTTTCTAGGTAATCCAACAGGACCAACGCCAGGGGTTGTAAGGACAAAAGCTAGAGATTTTAAGGACAAGGACAAACGAGGGGGATGAAAAAACCAACGAGGGGTTTGCAAGATATAGAAAACGGTGATCCGTGCGCAGACACACCAACGGACAGACTTAGTATAAATACCACTCGTACTCGTACTGGAGAGAGAAGTCTATTCCTTCTCTCACACTGCAAGTATACGATATCTCAAGGATAGCTCTAAATACTGACTCCATACGCATTCGACCCGCATTCCATTCGTCTCACGATTCCATTTGTCCAAAGATTCCACCCCAAGGGTCTTTCTGACACGAGACTGGTACGTCTGGTTTATTCAGAGTGGGAGTTGCACTGACACATAGTCAGGAGAAGCAGTTCAGTTGTAGTACGTGTGAGGAACCCGCCGAGAGGCCCGATGTCCATGTTTTGCGACCAGATGGATCGCGGCCGACTTATTCGACGTGTTCATGGATGCTGTTCCGACAATGGCGATTTCCGGTTCAACGGTGTTCAACGAGCGGGCCATCTTCGCTTCTACTTGCTGGCCATGGGCTCCAATCATCAACACACCGTTGAAGCGATCCTTGATGTTTCCTACTAGCCCGGCAACCGAAAAGTGTTGGATTCCATCCTGTATGATTGGGCGGGCGGGATCCGAGTTAGTTAGTTGTATTGCACATTCTTCGGGGAACCGGAAGTCTCTGGGGCTACGGAGATCGACCTGGAAGGGAGTTGCTGGTGGTCTGTGCCCGTCAGCATTTACCGCCGGGAGATACCATTGTATCAAATATTGAGCCTTGCTTCACAGAGAATAGATTGCCACTTATACTGAGACCTTCTATCCTTTATTGTTCCTCTTTCCAAGAGCCTGTAGCCTCTCAAAATGACCATGCATGGTCATTTGGACCATTGCTGTTGTTATTGGTTGTGGTGGTGTAGTCAGCCTAACAGCCAGAGCACCACCATGAAGGCGCGACCAATTTCCCCATTTCAACGCCAAAACAGCATGGGCCACGATTCCAAGCCAAATTCTCGATCCAGGTGCCCTGACCCAACATCAGCTCAGAAGACGTCTGGCCCCCGACAGGCCAAATTGTCGATGGCCGCCATGCTTTGTGTCACCGCGCAACCTGGTGCAAGGGGGCCTTATCCGCGCACGGACCATACCAGGAGATTGCAAGGGATGCAGAACCCCCTGATATGCACACAGACGTATCGACTCGGGCCGGGCATGCCAGCAACGGCTGTCACCATGGAAGGGTCTGGAATGGCCCGCGAAGGTATAAGTAAGACCCTCGCCCCTCTCCCAGGAGAGAAAATCCTTTTTCCTCTCATGTCTCAAGGGCAGCTTCACATCCGCAAGAGATACACATTCAACCCGCATTCTATTCGTCTGACCATTCCACCCCAACCAGCCTCTCTGATACCTACCCATATAGCACGTACTTCCACCAAACCATCTTCTCTTCGCACACACACAAGTCACCAAGCTCCAAGTCAAACGATGGCCTCCCCTGCTGAAGAACTCCAGGCAACCCTGCCCAACAATCTGACGGTCAAAACGCTCTCAGTGAAGGGTCGTCTCCCAACGTTTGCAACCAAGGTGTCGGACATCGAGGACCAAGAAATTTGCCAGCAGGTCTTCGACAAATACATCGCTTATTCCGACAAGCTTTGCGGTTATCGGGTCGACATGGGGGGTGGCTACATCTACATGTGCCAGGCCATCGTGGGAGAAGACAACTACGACATCCATCATGATCCTACCGCATAGCATACTGCAAATGGAGGAGAAGGTATGACAGAGAGGCGCGGCGGATAGGGGTGCAGACGTGGAGGATGGGGTAGGATAAACAACGGAGATAGTCACTGTCGCGCAATGAAAGTTGTTTACCAAAATTGCCTTTGATCAGGCCGCAAGTGCCATCCGCTGGTTTCCATCTTACATGTGTAGGCATTGAACCAACCCAGCGTAGACTGTAACCACGAGGTGAGCACGCACCCATTCCCCATCGCCCACTCACGCTGACCCTCCTGCTGCTCGTCATCACCCTCCTCGCCCAGCACCGCCAAACCCCTCGGAGCCGTCCAGAACGGAGGCGTAGACGTTGTGTGGTATAGCGAACGGTCCTGGGCCGATGCCCTCACCCGAGACGGTAATCTCCTGCTCCGCGCAGTCTTTGGCAACCTGCAGACCTTCGGCTACGACTAATCCTCCACCCAGCTCACCGTCGAAGGCAACTCGATCGAGGAGCGCCTCGGCGCAGCCTCCAAGGTGGTCATCGCGGAGTGCGGCTGGCACAACAGGGTCCGCCTCGTCTTCGCCTCTGACGGCCTGGCAACCAACTGGGCCAGCATCGTACACTAAGCGAAGATGGCCAGAGTGCTCCAATTCATTGCCAACTCGGTTGAGTAGATGAATAGTGTCGGCACGTAGACAGACCGCCAGCGTATCGATGTAAATACCTCCACCAGAGCCCCTTGCCACAGCGGAGCAGTACCAATGAGTAAGAGGTATTTCGGCCGAGGGTTCCTTTCTGCAGACTCTTTGTTCACTTGCATTTCAGCATGTGTCTCAGGCTTTGCCAAATTCAAGCTGATCCTGGTCGATGATGACTCGTTCCTCCCTCGTCTCTTGAGAACGGAGCTGGATCATTCAATGGGTTGACTGACCATGTATCTTCGACTGCTTGGATCGCCTCCAAAGGCGTCACGGCGCTCCAGCAGTCTGTGGCGAAACGATATGAATGCGAACTCCCCTCAATACCGCGCTTTGTCTCTTTACCGGGTCGATTGGCAGTGGGCTTGGAGGATCTCTATCGTGGCAGCCAAAGTGCTGATCAAGCTTGGGATGAAAGATCTAACCGCTGGTGCATGTCGTCGTCATTGATTTCTGCCAGTTTTGAGGGCCGAATGCCCTGGGTACTATGCCAGTTCAAAATGGCTTTCACACCGCGGATGTCCGCACTGACGGCGGGACGAAGGTACATGTTTCTCATGGTTATCGGAGTGGTCGGATCTTCGAGACCGGGATTTGTAGAGCATACCGGAACCGTTCCCCCGTCGGTACCCGTAGAGCTGATGAGGTGGTCGGTTCTTTGTCATGTTAAGTGAAAGAAGGCTGTTTGAGAGAATCAATGAAGAAACTGCTCCGGTAAAAGGTCCTCAAAGTTAGACTTGTTGGGTTTGCAGTCTTACCTGCCTGTTCCGGTGCTCAGACGAGGTGAGGTGAGCCATGTATCGGTTGTTCTCGCTGGAAACAGCTGGAAGATGAGGTGGAACATGGAGTCAGGAAGATGAAAAAAGATAAAAGTTGAAGACGCCACCAACGAGTTGGGTGTTCCTACACGAAGAGAATGAGACTGTTTGATAAAGATTTGATGTCGTGGTGGTGAAGTTGTTGATGGAGTTGTTGATGAAAGTTGAGTTGGTAGCTGGGGTGACGACGGGGTGGAATTGGCATCAAATCTCAGGTGATGGAATTGGAATTTAATCTTGGATTGACTTAACACCCTGTGTAGTGACCTGAATGAGAGACCGCCAGTGACGTAAGGACCTCCAACGACTTCATGAGGGAGGGCTTTGCTCTGGTTTCTCAGCTCATGTCATGATATGACCGCGCCTCGAAGGACTTTGCTTGTTTGTGTCCGACCGCCCTTCATCCACACACTGCCAGCCGAACTCCTCCCCCAACCCATTCCGTTACACCACCCATATATCAGTCAGATCAGCCCTCTTCCCCATGCCGGAATGTCTAATCCAATGCCAAAAAGAGTAAACAAGTAGGTACAGGATTGAAAGCAGACACCCTCGTTCTGCAAAAACATCCTGTACAGGCCTTACATATCTCGCTCGGACTTCCAACAAAAGGAGGACAGAATCCGGTGGCTGGCTGCAGTGTGATCATTTCCACCGTTTCTTTGAGAGGCCTCGTCACGATCTCGTTTTGCACATCAATCAATGGACCACGATGGCGCCGTCGCCTCGCCGCGGTCAAGCAGATGGTGCTTCACAATGTTCAAGTCCATCACTTTGTCTGGCTGTCCAGGCCCATGCCTCTTTCTTCTGACAAGCATCCCAGGCACTCGAAATATTTGGCCTCTCCCAAGAGGACGTTGTGACAGCAGTTCTTTCTTCAACACCCAAGAAGTCATTGCTTAAGGAATGCCCTTGCACACATGCTCAGTCAGAGTACGGCCGACAGACAGTTCCAGTATCCATTTACTCATCTCTTTCACTGTTTCGAAAGGACAGGACAAGACGAGAGAAGGCTTCGGGTCCGGGGCATTGTCGCTAGAGATACGGTGGAATATTTTTCATCTTCACGTCGCAGTTCGGCAGCTTGACCAGACCGTGTGGAAGGGGCGACACTGCTGTACGCAGTCGAACGCGGTACGATGCGGATGTATTTCGGTTCGGTGCATTGAAGTTTTCCAGCAGTCAATCTCAGCAACTGATTGTTGTGGAATCCCCCAGACGCCCGAATAACCAGCCAGGGGATTGAAAGGGCTCCCACTCTTGAAATGCAGTGGCCGCCACCAGGCCAACGTCTAGCGCGGCGCGAGTGCGCCGTGGTGGGTGAGAGGGTTTCTCGTCAGGCATGGGCGGTGAAGAGCCGCGGCGACGCGACGGAGAACGCAGCAGGAGTTTAGTGTTGGGCATTCTCAGAGGTAAGATTCCCCGACGGGAGACAGGCGGGTGGGCAGTGGGATAGGCACTGGAGGTCGCACGTTCTCGCATGATGAAGCGTGGGAGGAGCCGAGAGGCGAAAGGCGAAGGAATGAAATGGAATGCCCGATGCTGGGAAAAATACAGAGTAGGAAGCCGAGTGAGCAACGCCGAATACCAGATGCCAGATGGATAGAGAATGAAAACAAACAAAGTCCGTGCAACTAGGAATGTACAAATTTCGTGAAATTGCTACACCGCAAAAGGCGGAAAGTGTACCGCGGTAGACACGTGACCAGCACGGCCACGACTTGGGGGTGTTGATCAAGGAGTGATTTGAACAGGATGACCATTGACCAGAGGCGGTATCTGGTACTCTCCCTCTGTCTACGAGTGAGGGACTTGGATTTGGATTTGGGAAATGGATTTTGCTTATGGTACTAGAATCACGAACTTCAACCAACGCAATCGCACGTCAGATTGTGATCATGCCTTCGGGACGTTGGTCCAAGACTATCCACAGCCATGACTTTCCCAGCCGTCACCCCTATCCTCATCTACCGTTCAATGACTTCGCTTCGGCAGCCGGGAGTCCGTCTTTTATATTCGCTAGGGCAAAAGGCTCTCCTTGTGTCAGGATCTGGCCACCATCGTTCTCTCCTCCTAGCCCAATCTCGTCTCAGGTTATCTATACCGCCAGCACGTCGCGATATCATAGCCCGGGAGGAGCCTGCAACGGTCCGCGAGTGCCTTGGACGTGCGATGCCGGCTCTTCACGGGCCACGATACCACGCCCAAGCGCCCAAGCCGAGGGTGACGGAAAGACGGGCGTTCTGTAGGTACCCTGGAGTGTCGATAACAGCGCTCATGAAGGCAGCTTCAGCCATGGTCACAGGTTGGACGCTCATGTCTGTCAACACACCATCGTTCAGCTCTTCTCGTGATGCCTGTCCAGAGGATTGTCGATATCCGACCGCGTGGCTCGAGTTGGGGAGTTGGGGAGAGTGAGCTCAAAGTATAACCAAGGCCAAAGTCACCTTCACAATTTGGACCAGTATCACAATCAAATGTTGTCTCCCAGCTATAGGGATCGTCGGCCGACTCTTAAGGCCCGGGTTCTGTAACACCTCTGAACTCGAAGTCAGATTTGCACAGCTATTTTCCCCAAGGGTTCGATGGGCCTGGAGGTCCTGCTGCACCTGAAGTTGCACAGGGTCCTTGACGTCGGCCTGGAGGCAGTCCTGGTGGTAGTGGTGGAAGTGGCCCTCGGAGTGGTCTTGAAGGTGATCCTGCATCCTGAAGATGGCCTTGGAGGTGATCCTGGGAGCGGTCCTGGGAATTGCCTGCTGGGGCACTAGGAACGCCGCCATCGCCGCAAACAGAGTGTATAGGTATTGTAGCCAAGCAGGTGTGGCTTGCTGACAACCACAGAGACCTGACCCTGCGCTCGACTGACTGTAACCAATAGCTGCCGACTGGGTCTTCCCACGCCGACTTTGACTGCGAGGCTGACTTGTGCCTGTGATGCCACAGTTCCACCTTTTCTGCCCAACGCTAGCAGGGCCTTCAAGAGCTGAGGATTTCTCTGGGGCGAGGGCTTGGAGGGAGGAGAAGGGTTAGGTCGGACTGGGGGCAGTTTGAGAGGCCTGTGACTCAGTCAGCTTCGCCGTCCAGAACTCATCACACCGGGCTTTTTGAGGGAGGGTTGCGACAGACCAACTGGAAGTTAACGAAAGAACAGAGCGAGAGTGTTGAATGCACATCTATCTCATGTGGTGGTGATGAAGTTGTTGATGGAAGCTGACTTGGTAGCCGCGGTAACGGCGAGAAGTTGTCACAAAACTTTAAGCAAAACCACGTCACCTGCGTTTTCACCACCAATCAGCGACGTGGCTCTTCGTAGAAAGGCCGGCATGACCAGCTCAGCTGACGCTTCGTTCGAGTATAGGCGTCAATGTGATTGGAGGTCAGGAATGTCTCGCGCTCGCCCAAATTCCACAATCCATGATGGCTCAGCGGTACGAGGGCGCCCGTTCTGGAACACCCAGCCAAGTATGTGCGCAAACTGAATGCTCGCTCCGGAGGTCATGCGCTCATTTTATCACCGTCCCTGTCTCTGGCTCCGCTCTTGATTCGCCTTGGGAAGATTCTGGCCGCCATTGTCACTGAGCCAGTCTTGCTTTGGCACACCCACGCGCTCGTCACTGCTCTAGCTGTTCCGGACATCACGACTACTGCGAGATCGAGCACAACGAGTTCACGGACTGCATCAGGGAAATCACGGTGAAGAGCATGAGTTTGAGTTGGGCCATGGGCATCCGCAAGCCCGGCGTGCAGCTCGTCAGTCTCTAATATTTCGCCAGTTTCGCCCGGCAACTGAACAAATATGATTTCCATGAAATGCGACAGAACAACGACTAAACACCTAGAGTTCCGGCAGCACATCAATGAAATTCTAGACAATATTCAACGAGAGGCTCCGTCACCAAACTTGCCTCAAACCCGGATCGGAGAAGAGTACAATCGAAGAGCTAAGTTGATTGACAATTATCCCCAGATCATCAGGTCATCAGTACCCTGGAAGATCCCAGGTCCAAAAAACGATCGCGACAAGTGCTTGAGCTACCGGCAAGAACCTGTCGAGTCGGGCTAGCTTGACACTTGTAAGCGAAGTGCACATGGTTTATCCGGGCGCACGCGTTTCTTGTGGGAGGAGAGAGTGGGAGACCTGAGGGACATCGCAGAGCCCAGTCAGGTGGCTAGTCTGCTCCAAACGGGCAATCCTTAACTGAGATGCAACATTCCCCAATCGACAGAAAGCTGCTGTCTCACTCACCCAATGACCGGGATGTGATTCTTTTGAGACATGAAATGTGACAGTTGCAACCATTCGCCGCTACGTCGTCCTTAGCGTTGGTGCCAACTCCACAGGCCGGCTACGCAAGCCAATCCAAGAAGAGATGGTACATGTTTGATCAATCATGAGGCGGTGGATTGACAGACGCCAGGTATTGCTTCGTCCAATGTCTTTGGGTGTAGGGACCCTCATCCGCCATCCCCGCCTGTCCCCCTATCTGTCAGTCACCCAGCCCTCTCGGTCCGCTCTCCTGATGCGGCGGAGGGACGATGAAAGTTGAGGTTGTACTATAATGGAGAGGATTTGGAAGCCCGTTGGCTTTCATCTGCTGCATCTGCCGCTCCTGCTTCATTCCCTCCTTCGTCCGCCTTGCTCGACTCGGCCTCATCCGAGAGGAAGGAAAAAGATGAGCTCGCCAGAACAGCCACCGTATCTACGTATCATCATGTTGGGAGACGATGTAGCTACCCAGGCGTTGAACTATCGAGTAAGACTCTATTATCCTGTCGAATATACATACTCACTCCACGAACAGTTCGAAACAATCAATCGCATCGACCAACCTCTCAATTCTCCGACGGGAGATGTACTGAGATCTATTCAAATCGGAACCGAAGGACTCGCAACGGAAATGGTGATCGAACTGTGGAACAGAGGGGGTTTCGACATGCCCAATATTCTCAATTACTATTGTTCACAAGGGGAGGCGTTCCTGGTCGTCTTCAATCTGTGCCGCAGAAAGAGTGTCAATGCCATCACGAAATACACGTCTGCGATTGAGCAGGCGGGTCGAGGGCAGTGTCCGATAGCACTGGTGGGAGTGTGCAAGCCTAACCAGATAGCCGTGGTGATGGAGCAGGAAGCTATGGAGCTAGCTGCGCAGATGGGACTTCCAATCTTCTTTGTCCGGAGGAGGAGTTTCGAACAAGTCATGGCACCGTTTGTCCACCTGAGTCGACGACGTCTCCGGCAGACCAGTTCGTGTGTCGTGAACCTCTTGCCACGGGCTCGTTGGTGGCTTCGTTGGGCTACCTGTTTCGGGTGTAGGAAGTCCAAAAAGTTGTGATGTTGATCTAGAGCCTCGCTCAGCGCAGATACCAGTCTAGACGGGTCTAAACCCTGTTGATTTTGATTATTTTGATCATAGCAGCTCTTTAGCCCTCGTCCTTGTTCTGTCACCAAGAAATCTCGATATGTTGGCCGCATCGGTGACATAATCCTCCATCCTCGGTTCGCGCTGTTCAGCAGATTGACATCAAAACAGCGTTTCCTTGAGCCCAAGTACTGCTCGAACATATTCCATTTCTCTTCGGAGGATGAACCGACAGAGAGCCTGGTCATCGCCATCACTGAGGAGGTTGTCCTCAGCCAGCGGTTATGGGCCCGCACTATTGCGCCCGCTGCCACCTGCGACGTCCATCCCAAGAGCGTCGTTTTTCTCGCGAACACGAATGCTCGTCGAGCGATGAAGACTCGATACACAAAGAGAGTAGCACGTACCTGTTGATGATGCGGCACAGATGCTTCTTGCCCGGCTGGACATGCTCCAAAGCTTGCCCTCTGAGGATCAGCGGCATACAGCGTAAACAGTGTCCACGCAATGCTTTGGGTCAGACCTCTTGCCTTTTGTACTGGATACAACTGAGCAATCGTTGGTGGTTCTCCGCTTGGGACCAAGCCGAAGGTATAGCCACAGACCACGTGGGATAGACACCGGTCAGAAGCCCGGGAGGAGAGACTGCTCTCAATGACGATGGTGGAGGAGGAAGTGGTTTTAGCGCACCAGTTCGTATCGGTTCAGAAATATAGAGATTGAATCTCGTCCTACCCAGTGCTTGCAGTCGAGCAGAATGACGGATTGGCAGAGACATGAGCAGCAAGTAGTCCTATTTCCATACAATTGACATTTGCCCTGTGATTGTCAGGGTTGAGGAAGAGTTCTGCAACTAACTAGCCAACCTAGTGACAAGGAGGATAGATCTGACGAGAGGAAAGAAGAAAGAAGAGTCGTCTTCCTCGCTCCTTATATCGTACGCCCTTAGGAAGGGGGTTTCGGATATTGTCTCTCCCCATTGCTCCCTTGTCTCTCCTCCTTGCCTATATCGTTCCTCTGTTGTGTCGTGCTCCCTTGCCTGCTGGAAACCAACCTCCGAGTAATTTCCTTCTTCACTCTCCCTTAACTTGGCCGGTACAAATTCATCTTCGTCTGTACGTTGAGAAATCTATCCGAAATCTACGGGAAGCGTGACAACTCAGGACTCCACATGCCTCCGCCAGCTTTTCCCACGCGGTGTACGCGTGCTCCGACGGGGGTCGACAGGGTTCAACGCCGACGGCGGCAAATCGTCCCGAAGGTCTCCTCCGTCTAACAGCACGCGGCCTCACATACGTCGACCCGAGGTGAGGCGATCTGCAGCACGGGAAGGCTTCATACATGGACAGAAAAGTATCAGGATCCCAGTATTTGGCAAATTCAGCAGATTTTCCGTCTTCATTCTTTCATCCAAGGGGTGATAAGCCGTGTATAACATACTTCCATAGCCCGTTCAGTACTGGAGTCCCAGCAGCTCATGGTCGTTAGCCTCGTGGTCGTAGAGTGTAGTCTGTGCCAATTCAAATGCCGGCTGGTGGGAAGGGAAGAACCAGTATGTATTGTGAATCGGTGTGAAAAGCTAGCCGATTAATTTAGTACTTATTCAACACTTGAGTCAAGGAAAAACACACCAGATTTGGGGTGGGAGGTGATTGCAGGATCTGTGAAACCACTAGGGCGGAGCAAACCTACAGTGAGTGAGATTTCCGGGGAACATTTCCTTCACAGATCCCAAATTCTCAATCTTTGAATTCATCACTAACCTCAAAATCGGGTGTGCACACAAGTCCCGAAGTTGTAATCTCCTCTATTTGAGAAGTTGTCCTTGACGCCACGTGGCGCGGGGATTATGCCCTCACTTTCATCTCGTGGTCCTGGACGAGCTCTGTTGTATGTTAACCCGAGGAACTTCCCAATTCTGCCCCGGTTATTGTGTTCTTGATGAGAGCTGTACAGCCCAACCTGCTGCGGCCGACGCTGTGCTGCCGACAATCGATCAGATCAGATCCACGCCGTGCCGCGCCGACAGACTGCGGACGGACGGACGGATGCGCGGCCTCCCTCCGAGCGAGCAAGCAGAAAGAGACAGACGGACACACAGGCTGCGGATGGATGGCTGGATGGATCTTCTCTTCCCCTCCCTCCCCCCCACCGCGCAGAACGAGACGAGGCTGCACTACGACCGCCGTTGCCTCCCTCTCCTCCCCTCCCCCGACCGACCAACCGCCGGCAATGCATCTCACGCCCGACCACCGGCCATGCAACACGCACCGGCCAGCCAGCGCCACGCAATTCCTGCCGTAAACACCATGCACGCACGAAGTACGTTGATCCAGCACCACCGGCGTCCGACGTCCAGTCAGACTCGGACGCTGCGGCGATACTTTGGATGACTGGTTGATTCCCTGTCAGCTAACAGCAGGGCGGACGATGGACGGATGGAGGGGTTGCTACTGCGGATAGACGAAAAACTCCTCTTCGGGGAGGGAGCTGATGATGAGAGTGGTGCGTGAGGGTGATTATAAGCATAAGTGTGAAAACATCCTTCCCACACTACGCTTGCTTACTTCCTTACGTGCCATGTATACACAGACAGATACACACACATGCCTGAGCACGAGCACAAACCCATCGGGGTATATTGTGGCTTCATCCAACCACCTATTGGATATGTTCGATGCCGATATCGGTGCGCTTTCCATTTATCACGGCGCAAGCTGGAACAGGAAGAATCACTGTGGTGTAATTGTAATATGAATTCTGAGACAGAAGGAGTCTAACTACTGTGGCTGGGACAGCACGAAGATAAAAGGGTGCGCGTAGCTTTGTTTGGAGAAGCAACATTGTGCCAGGCGTGCTGACCGTGAGACCCTTAGGGATGAGACAAAGACCCTGAGTGACCTCCGGGGCCACCTTCAAGAGGTCCTTGCGATGGTCTAATACCTCCGAATACGAGGGATAAACGCAGTGTTGTACTCTTAGGACATCACTAACGATTTGCCTGATTTGCATTATGAACCAGGCTGGAAATTTCTAGCCGGTGTCCTTGTCGTCCCTCAGTCAACCGGTGGCAACGAATTTACTGCCTTCTTTCGCAAGGGCGTGCTACAAGAAGCTAAACGAGCTTGCCCCCGCCACGAAAAATCCATTAGTGAAGGTCCTGAAGACTGCCTTAGACCCCTAACAAGCTTCAAAGCGTGGAGCGAGACCATCGCAGGTCGAGACTGGACAGACGAAGGAATAGAGACCGCATCCTGCCTCTATTTCGTCTACGGCAAATTTATCGATGTCTAGCCCCAGGAAGCCGCCCTCCAAAACAGCGCACTGACTCTACTTCTGCTGGCGAATTCGACCCATAAAGCCCGCACCCGGCTGAACGTGACCACCAACTTGTCCGCACACACACACACAAATGTACACGGACACGGTCCCAGTCAGGATGAGGGAATCAATCAATCCCAATCCCACGCCCGTCCCTCCACCCTCCGAGCGCGCGAGAACAACAAGCTTGCGACGAACAAACAAACAACTGGTGACGCTGATGCAGATGGCGAATGAAGAAAGAGCCTTGGTGTTACTCTCCCAGATCCTCCAGGTGCATACCCCATAAGCGATGGCTAGCTGGCTGGGGGGGTCGCGGGCCCCGGCGGCGGGGGTTGGTTAGATAGCTACTGGGGCCCCAACTAGAAGCAAGGGAGCAGCGTCGCGCAAAACCCCCCATAAGGAGGAAGCACTCACTCCCTCCACCTGTTCTAACATGGTGGAATAATGTCGTGCAAGATAGATACTCTTTGTCTCTGTCCATTCCATTCCCATGTATTTCCTTCCAAATAATACTGATACTGTCCGTGCCACTCAACTCAACAAAGATTCAGAGTCGATTCGCTCACTTTTTAGAATTCTTTGAACTCCTTGAACCCACACCGTGTACTCCGTGTATCATTCGTTTGATATTGATGTTAACACTGAAACTATGGATGGAAAACGGAGTCCAATTTCCATTGCCCTACCCTAGTTGTAGACTTGCTCCATCCTCATAATTTTGCAGATCTGTGCCTCGACCCTCGGTAGTTTACCTCATCCAATCCAGCATACTGCTTTCCAGCGCCTGTCCGTGGCTCCCATAATGCAAAGCCATCTCTCAATAGCTTGATATTGACTGGTGATAACTCCATCATGGTCTTCCGTAGTATCTGCAAGACTGCTCTCGTGTTCCAAGCTTGCAGCTCGTTCTTCGCCACGTCAATTCGCGTTCACACTGGACTCAAGATCTGGGTCGATCAAAGACAAGTCGGTCTGATTCTGGGGAGACGAGCTGCTGAGATAGTAGTGAAGCCTCTCATAGAAGTCCTCACTCGTACCGCCACCAGGTTCAGCTTGGACGAATCCATACTCGGGGTGGGAGTCTGTCGCAGGATTTGCGGGCGCGTAGTGTATAGTGATCTGAGGAGGATATGACGTCTCTTCTGCTGCTGCGGTTGCAAGGGCTTCCAAGGCGGGAGCAGCGACCTTCTCGACCATGTCTGAGGGGGTGGAAGTTCGAGCAAAAGGAGGCGTGATGGCACTTGCATGTTCTATGTATGGGTGGGGAGCAGCGACCTGCTGGACCATGTCTGAGTTGCTGGAAGTTCGAGAAAGAGGAGGCGTGACGGCATTTGCATCTTCTGCGCATGGGTTGGTAATGTAGACCCAAGTCACTGAAGAGGCAGTCAATCTCGTCGTCAAAGACGCTGGGGGTCAGGATACAGACATTGCTGGGGCACAGGGAGAAACGCCATGAGATGTTCTTCACTGTACGTTTGGCTCTTCTTGAAGTAGCTGTGGAAAGGGTGTTTCTCGCTACTATTGCTAATACCCGAGTTCTGCTGGTGTCGGAATGGGACTGTGTCATGAGTGTCAGTTCATTTGAGGTTTGCTTCAACGGGGCTGTGACAGGGCAACTCACGATCGGAGCGGACACATTCACGGTGTCCCCTCTGACAGTTTGCGCAGTTCGGCTGGGCCTTGAGTTTCACAGATCAATCATTGTCAGCCGCGAGGAATGAGGCGGGATTTACCTCGTCGCATCTGATCTTGCGTGCGCGGCAGGTCAGGCACCCTGTACGACTCCTCGTATTCGCGGAAGACATCGCCGCTCGATCGCTCGATTTGCGTTGCTGTCTGTAAGACACTGGCAGGTTTCCCGACGATGAATACGATTTTTTTGAAACGGGCGGAGGTCGCCGCCGCGGTGGCTAGCGCAGTCGGATGAAGGTAGAGCCGGTGTTATCTTGGCATCCTGTGACGTGAGCACTTTTGTGAGCTACCATCACGTGGTAAGGCGGAATGATGGGAGCGCAGGGGGCTCGCTACTGCTCTGTCTCTTCGGAGAGTAGAGGAGAGCATTATTCCTTGCTGTTTGGTGTTGATATGCATCTCGTTTCAGCGCCTAACTGCGTGCCTGCCTCCATGGCTCCCTGCCTGCCGTGCCTCGCCTCGCCTCGCCTCACCGTTTACACGTACCCCGGCCTGACGCGACCCGACCTCCTGCTCCGCCTGAGTGTGAGCGTGCCCGTGGCCGTGACCATGTATGGGCGACTGGCCGCCAACCGCCTAGAGATCTATCTAGCCGGCTGGGTGGCTGGTTGACTGGTTGGTTAGTGTGCCATAATCGTCTATCATCCCGTGCGCGGCGGGAAAGGAAGGGGAAGGGAAGGGATGGAGATGGGCGATAACAACGACAACAGCGCCGTGTTTGCTCTTTTGTTTGTGTGCTTCTTCTTCTTCTTCTTCTTCTTCTCCACACACCAGCTAGCCAGCACGTCCAGCGTGTCCGACTCGGCCATGCGGCCATGAGGAGGCACGTGAAAGGAAGAGAAAAGAAAGTAAAAGGGAAGGAGAAGGGAGATGGGATGGGCAACGACAATGACAGCAACACTCGGTTCGTTTTTTCATTTGCGTGTTTACATTCTTCTTCTTCCTGTCCTTCCGCTTCTTCTTCGTCGTGTCATTGTCTTGCACACATCTGCACCTCCAGCACATCTCGATTCGGCTAGGAGACCATGAGGAAGGACATCAAGCGCCCATTCACGTGTACAGATGGGGCCGTTGAGGTGGACGGGTCCGTTGACGGCGGCTTTCTTTGCCAGGGAACTTACACACATACACACAAACGCGAGAACAACCACTGTGTGGGCACCAAACGAATACAGAAACAATTGGTCAGTGGCTGGATGGATGGACAGACGGGGGCCCAGAGGAAGCAGGAGTGCGAGCCGCAACGGTCCCAGCCCAGTCCGTTACGCGAGAGACGGAATCACTCACTGCCTCAACATAGATTCAGATTCGATCCCCCTCGCTTGGTCCCTGTTGAATTCGAATTCCTTGACCTAACTCCGTGTACTTCGTTCGCGTATCTGTATATATATCGTTTGAGTTTGATATTGATACTCACATTGTTTGACTCGTCCGTGTTGGAAACCGAATTCGAATTCGCACAGACCTCACCTGACGTGCACTCGGCCGTTCTCCAAAGGTCTTGCTTCGTCGTCCTTATTTCCCAGATCCTGATTTGTTAAACAATCTTTCCTCAAATCCGCCTAAATCTGGTGTGGAAGAAGAAGTGCGCTCAATCGCCAAATGCGCCACCACAGTGATTATTCCCTACCAAATGAGTTGCCATAGTGATTGTTGACTGCCAGATACGTCACCCTAGTGATTATTTCACAGATCACAAATTCTTGATCTATGACATCATTACGTCCTCCTCCCCAACACATTTCCCGGCAGCGCAGGGCAGAGCAGAAACCTCACTGCCACCACCGCCGCCGCCTCTTTGAAGAGATGAGGAGAGCAGAGCATTATTCCTTTGGTTTGGGTGTTGATGATATCTCGTTTCCGCGCCAGCCTATCTGCCGTCCCTCGCCTGGCCTCGCTGCCGTTTACACCCACGCACGCATGCACGCACATCGAGCTGACCTACCCTGCCCTGCCTTGCCTTGCCCTACCCTGCTGCCCTCCTCCTCTGCCGCCGCTGCCGCCGTCTGGCCGAGACCCCGACCGTGACCACGGAGCCGCCTCCAGGTCTAGGACCGGCAGGCGTCGCCAAGTCGATTCCAGATCGTATTCGATGTATTATCCGGGTTCCTTTGGTGCGGGGTGAGACTTGGAAGCTGTTCACTGAGCACGAAATCTGCTTGAGTGGCGAATGGCGGCTCGCTAGCGATCCAGATTTTGGTGCGATTTTGATATCGACACGACCCTTGGATATCGCCAAATCAATTTCAAACAATACCATACACATTGTCCGAAGGTCCTTGGCACCAGATGAGACCCAGTAACTATGTCTTAAGCAGGGAGGTCACTTCAAGCGTCTGTAGTGGCTCGCTGTCGAACGGGGTTTTTCCCATGTTGTGCCCACGAGTTGACCTTGGGATATTACCAGTTCAAGTTCACACACATTTACTGCATTGTCCGACCCTGTCCCATATGGCATAAGACTCGACAATCGTTTTGCCGCGCGGAAGAAGTTCCATGATCGAAATTATCACCGTCTCTCGAACCGGTTTTTAAAATGGGAGCTCAACCCCAATCAAACTCAACAACCATAATATCTCACAAGTTCATACTCTAGGCGCAGCTAGAGACATCAAATTATGTCCTCGGAGGACATGTGAAAGAGATCTATATGCAATGTTACACGTTTGCCATCGGTTTCAACGCCAAGCCCATTGACGGATCGAAGCACATCAATCCTCCTCGCCCCGTGGCAGCAAACAACTAAAATAAGATGCTATCTCCATATCATAACGAAGGGCCTTTCGACGGATATCATTCCGAAGTTCTCCGTCCAATGGTCGCGGAATAAAAGCGCCGGAGAGAGATTTTGGCCTCATATCAAAATATACGATTCTCCACCGAGCATGCTTAGGACTGGGCAAGACAAAGCTGGGGAAGTATCCTACGGCATAGGCCACCCTCGGACAGCAATTGAAGCCCTCGAGACGTCCAAACCCTCTCCCTCCTGCAGACCGGATGTTGTCATCGCAGCCGACCGGCGCCCTGAGCTCAATCCTTCAGCACAACCTCCTCTTGTGCTCCAAAGAACAACCGCGTATTCACCCCCTTTCGACCGAGAGCGATACCACGTTGGCCATGCAATGGGCTCCTCCTGGCGAAGGCTATCTCGGCAGCGGACTCGACCGCCGCTTTGCTTGTTGGTTGGCCAGCCACACCGCGTCGCAAAGAAAACACGTAACGGCGATTTGCCAAGACGAAATACTAGTCGTCATCAAGATCTGTTTCAACGAGCTGAACTGGACTTGATTGAAGTGCATTTGGGCGCCGACAAGATGACGGGGTGATGCGTTTAGTGGCTGAGAGCAGTGATCGTAGAATTGTAAAGAGGCGACCGAAAAGAGCACCCGACACACCCAAGAATTGCCGTGGACGTTAGACTGGCGAGGAGGGTCAGTCGAGGGTGCCCTGATCCTTCATTGGGAAGGTCTAGCGAGTGCCACGACGGCGCCTTTTAGCTCGCACATTTGTGCTGTAGAAATTTCATTAATAACAATCAATTTCATCACTTTGGTTCCACAGATTTCCGAGCACTCTATCGCATCCGCGAAGTCTTAGTTAGTGTCATTGTGTCCTGGGTATCGTTCCTGGCGAGTCGTCTGTCTCGGAAAGCTCCGGATCCTGCGCCATCTCGTCGCTGATTCTCTTCGAAACCTTGAACACCTGCGCGGTAAGGGTCAACAGCTCTCACGTGTCATTTACCCTGTCTCACATCTCTGCCAGCTCTTACAGCTCCAGCACCCCGTCTCCCACAATCGTTACGCTGACCACCCCCACTGGAATGGCTTCAAACGGCTCGAACAATCGCCGCTCCACCCCCCGTCGACGACGCATCAAATGTACTCACCCTGAATGCGGAAAGTACGGCCACTTCACCAGCGAATGTTGGGTCGCCCACCCTGAGCTTCGACCCAATCTTCGACGTGACCAAATTTCCAGGCATCATGCAGGTGTGTCAAGTCAAGGAGGGGGCCCGTTCCCCGATCTTACCCACCAAGCTACAGATGTAGTTCCCATGCAGTGGAAAACCGAAACGACCGATCACTTCCGGTTCCTTGACCTCCCACAAGAGATCCAGGACAAGGTCTACGAGCACGTCTACGAAGAGAAGCGGTCAGTACAAGTATCCATGCATACATATACGGTAACAAATTGGTCACACTTTCGACCATCTAATCGCGCTGAGTTGGTGGTCCGTGGATACCCGTATGACGACGACAGTCTCGCACGAGTCAGCAAAAAGCTTAGGGCAGATTCACGCACGGCACATCAGCAATCGTTCAACGGCGAGATGAAGATCTATTGGGATCACGAATGGGCCTCGACACCGTTTAACCTGATCTGTGGACCTCGCTGGGCACTACTACGGAACAGAGTCCTCAAACTCGTTATCTGCAACCTGTCGGGCAGAAATGTTAGGAATGACTTTCCAGCCATTTGGAGGTGGATCCCAACATACTTCCCTCGAGTCATCAAAATCAAAGTCCACTACGACGCATGGCGACTATGGACAGTCCCCACCCGGCTTATCTTCCACGAAGCCTTCATAGGACAATTTCACTCGGGCGAGATGGACCAGGACTTTGTGGACTCTTCCGAAGCCCTGGGGCTACACGTCCTGGCAAGCGCCATGGAGGAAACTCCGCATCTCTGCACCATCTCCCTGACAACTGCACTTCATTGGCATAGTCCCGACCAACGCCACGAGCTCTCGTTATATACCAAGTTCTATATCACGACGCAGGGCGTGTCTGAACCTGTAAGTAGGTTGTGGTTGCCCCATCCATAACGCCTTCTGGAGGGAGGAGGGTTGGTCACAACGGCAAAGCGGCCGCAGAGGCCACAGAAATTTTCGGGATACTACTATATTACAAGTCTACGTCGAGATCTGGGTTAGTCTGGCACCGTTAAAAGGCGTCGGAAATGGGCGTTTTGGATGATTTAGGTGTGTCAAACGATGGCACTTCCTCAGAAATTTGTACCGCATAGATTTCATAGCTTATCAATTCAAGTACTTTGGTTCTATTGTACGAGGATTCGAAAGGTAGTCGGCATGCATGGGCGAGAACGCACAGGGGCGTGTCCCGCAGGTCAGTCGCTGAGACGGGTTTTCTGGTCAGGACACTGACTGTCAGAGAGCTTCGGGGTGGAATCGTTAGACGGAGAGTCGGAGGGTTTGAACACGTATCTTGATTGTATAAAGCTGTCCTTGAGACATCGACTTCTCGCACTGTTGAAGGATTCTTGAATAGTGCGAGAACAGAGGTCCTATTTATCTCTTCCTGTGTGCACCTCGTGGGGGCCGCTCGCCCCAATCATCCCATGGGGTGTTATCAACCGGGGGTTCGGGTGCCAGCCCGGGTGACACTGACTATACCACCACCACTACCCCCCCAAATGGCCCAAATGACCATGCGTGATTCTGTTGGGTGGCCACAGGCATTTGGCAAGGAGGAGCAATGAAGGATCGAAGGTGTCACTGGGATGCAAGCGGCATTCGATTCTCAGTGAAGCAAGGCTCAATACTTGATCTACCGCTATTGCTTGTCGTGTTATTTATTCGCTCTCAAACTCAGTGCCACCAAAAGTGTGAAGATGCCCTAAGACAGAGTTGTGGCTGTACGAGCCACCACCACCGTCTCCGCAGCCCATTACACTATGGAGGAGGAGCGTGGCCGCGAATGTGCTCGGGGAGATCCTGTCGGGCAAGACATTGGCTCGAATAGAGACAGATACGCCGTTAGCTGGCAATGCAGGGTGTAGTGGTATGGTTAGTATAAGCCGTGCCACGGAAAGCAGCCAGTCAACCTTACATGCTTCACTGACCGCTTCCATATTGCACGATCCATGCGCAGACTCGATTAACATTCGAGCCAAGTACTGCGATTTCTGCACGTCCGGTACTGATGAAAGTCGAATCCACCGCCGGCTGCCTCATGTGAGAGAAATCTCCTTCTGCAGGGGGCCTCTCCCAGACCGACCGCCTTTGGCGATAATCTCTTCTACATATATTCGGCGGTAGCTCTCCAACCTCTCCTGGCTATCCTGTACCGCCCGCCCGATACCTCCCGTGTAGGCAACCTTGAGCGGCACTTTTCTTACATCCTAGACTAATGGCTTATCCGCTACGACCTGACACTTGCTTTTCTTGAGGCTGTGCATGATCGGCGGAGTTAAGTTGAGACTCTATTAATTTTCTTCGTTGCCGATCGGTCCTACGCCTTGGGTGGTGGGCTGGGTCGTGATCGAGACGACAAGGATGCTGCTGACGTCGACCAACGGGTCCAGGAATCCGTCCACCCTCGAGTCGATGATCAGCACGATGAGCACGTTTGTGTTTCTGATCATCCACGCCCGACGGATTAGGTTCATCATTTCGAACGTGTCGATCAACAGCCCCATCCTTCTGCGGCTCATCGGCCTCAGCCACCTGTTCCTCAGCAGTGACAAGGGCCTCACCTTGGGATGGCGCCTGATTGTCACGACGGGCATCTTCACGCTTATGCTGCCGGGCTCACATTCATCGTGGCGTACTTGGCCCTGACCCTGAACGAGACCAGGCACGGGAGCTCGCTCTTGTTGGCGGCCCGAGGATGCCGCTGACGTCCTCGACGGCTCTCGTGAGCAGGTCGACCCCGGTCTTAATCGTGTCGCTGAACCTGGTCCTGGGTATGTCCTTCAAAGCGCCGCCGTTCGTGTCCATGTTCAGCCAGCACGGAGGTGAGAAAGAAAGAAAAAGGAACGGGGTCATGCGCCGAGGGAGGGGGGGCGACATGGGCTCATCATGTTCATATTTATGTTGATTTTTGTTGATTGATCGATTAATTGCTGACGTGATTAATGTGAATGATGGATACTACATTCCATTCCTTCCCTATGGCATCTTGACACCCTGACACCCCGGTGTATGTATTTATATGTATGTGGTGTGTGTGGTGGCGGCGGAATGCAGGGATGCGAGATTGCTACATTCCTAGCACCAGTCCTGGAATGCAGGATTCGTGGAATGCAGAGGGCAGGAATGCAAGATTGCTGCAAGAATGTAAGACTGTTCCCAGAATTCAGAACCCCAGGAGTGCAAGACCACGGGAATGCAAGCTTATGCAGGAATGTTACAGGAATGCTACGATGCAACCATGCAAGACTGTTACCAGGGATGCAGCCAGGAATGCAGGACTGTTTCCAGGAATGTGACATTGATGCAGGACTGCTCCGGGAATGCAAGACTGTTGCTACCCAGCCTCCCCCTCCCTCCTCCCTCCTCCCTCCTCCCTCCTCTTGCGGAATGAATGAAGATCCATCTTCACCCTCGTGTTTGTTTCCTGCTCATTCAATGAAGTATTTTTTTTTTCCACGAAATTGTATATCGGGCTAGGCAGGTGGGCAGGGCGGACGAAGTGAGTGGTGCTTGCTTCCTCCTCGTGCTCAACGAAAGACTGCCAAGTCTCATAGCATGTTCAACAAGGACACACTCGGACGATGTATTGAACTCAGCACCCACAAAGCCGTTGGGTCAAAACTGCATCTCTCCGTTTTACTCCTCCTGCAACATCCACTTATAGCTTCGTCCGGCCATATTCGGCGGTCATGTAAAGATTCTGGGTGATGAGCAGAAGGGCAGGAAGGGCAGGAAGGGCAGCCTTGGAATCGACTATCACTGCATCCTGAAAAGATCGAGAAGGAAACTCCTAATAGGCACTGCTCCCAAGTAACCGGCGACTGGTTCGACGGAGGTGCTGGCCTCAAGGGCTAGAGCATCAAATCATCTATCTGCGAACTGAGAATCATGTTCCACGTCCGATCGATCAAGACGCCGGATCCTAGCAGGAGGTGGGTAGCTACTCTTGTCCTGGACGAAGAGGAACATCAAGATGAAGACGAACAAGTTCGTGCTACTGGAGAGAGATATCGTCGTCAGTACCAGATAGGTCTACGGATCACGACCGGACAGTACTTCCCGCCTCCCGCCTCGCCACATTTTCTCCCGGCCCTCAGGCCTCATCAGGAGGGAGGATGGGCAGTCCTGGAAACCGTAGGGTTCTATCCTGATCGGTCACGTGAAAACGCAGGTGACGTGACTTTGCAGAACTCAATAATTTTTTTTCCAACTCGTCGCCGTTGCCGCGGCTACCGATCCAACATTCATCAACAACTACATCATCACCACAACAACACTCCTTTAAAGCGTCTCAGTGTGTTCGTTTGACAACATCCGATGCGTTTATGGCAACTGTTCCCACAAAACCACCATGTGTCCTGAGTTGTGAGACCGCGAAACTAATCGATTTACAGGCCCCCTTGAATCGCCCTTGGTCAGTCCGAACCCTTCTCCTCCCCTCGAAATTCTCTGCTCGAAGCAATCCTCAGTCCTCGAAGGCCTGCTGGCGTTGGACAGAAAAGGTGGAACTGGCATCACAGACTATAATCTTCTCCTCTCCTTGAAGCTCCTGCCAAATGTATTGTAATCGATATCCATCCGTTTTCCTAGTGCCAGGCTCATCCCCTCAACGAGCAATCAAGGCGACACCACCGCCTTGGGGATTACAGATCTGAGCCATTAACTTCTGGCACGACGAAGATTGTTGCAGGTGTCCCGTGCCAGTGAAGATGGAACGGGGACCGCCAGTGATGATCGTATCAGAGATGTCGTCGACATTGCTTTCATCCCTGAACTAGATGCGTTCCAGGTCGACATTGGTCAAGGAATATTTGATGAAGACTCTCTTGGGGCATCTGCCACCAGCGGGCTGGAATTAAGTGTCCGTCTGGAGGCCTTCAGATTTATTCCGACCAACTATCGAGCACAGCACATGTTGTAAGTAGTCAGTATCCCTTCATATCCAACTCAGATGGCGCAGGCGAAAGAGCCAACACTAGGACTGTCGAGCGTCGGGCGGAGCGATATATTGCCTTCAGTCGAACATTCTCCCTCTTCCCGGCTGCGGTTACAGAAACGACGTACCTCTACGGAAGCGACGTATCTCTAACTCCCAGGGCACTGGGTCGATTATCCTTCGACGGGTGCATTTCGATACAGCCAAAGTCAGGAGGCTCTGATAGGCAAGGGGCCAGATGTTGAGCATTTGCAGGAGCTCAGTCTTCTGGAGAAGCGAGAGTATAGTCCTGCAGGTTCGAAGGGGTCTCAGAGTGGTTGAGCGAAGTCGATGGTTCTCGAGGGTCGGGTTTGGCCGGGTACGAGAATGCTGGAGGAGGCTGTTCTCGCTGTAACCGAGTCTCTCGTTCTTCAACCTTACGTTCAAGGGAGGCTTGTCGAGGCTTCAGCTCCGCCATGCTGCGCCCATGATGCGCCCATGAAAATGAAGCTCGACTCGACGAAGCAGGAGCCTCTAAGGGCGACATTAGACGAACTCTGAAGTGCACACTCACGCCCTCTCTCTTTTGGTTCTAAGCCCACTCTTGGATTTGTCGAAGGGCTCGCCCAGTGAATTCGTCCAGCAGCGCCTGAGAAAGGTTTATGCAGTATTCTTGAAGCAGGCTTGCAATAATCTTGCTTTGCTGTAGCCACTCAGCCAACCACGCAAGTTACAGGGCCGATAGGCAACGAAGAAAATTAACGGAATCCCGACTCAAGTCCAACCCGCATTGCCAGCTAATAGCGTATCTGTCTCTATTCCGGTCAACGTCTTCCCCAGCAGGATCTCACCGAGTATAGTCACGGCCACGCTCCTATGTGGAACCAAAGTGAAACCAAAGTGAAAGAATTAATTGATTAATCTGTGAAATCTCTGCGGCACAATTCTGCGTGCTAACGCCTCCCCCTCCTCCAGAATAACCCATATCCCGATCTAGACTTCCAACATAGTATCCCAAAATCTTTGTGCCCTTTGCCGCAGCTCTGCCATTGTGATAAACCCTCCTCCTAGGAGACGTTATCGAACGGGACACCAAATCCTCTCGACAGCTTCAGACAGGCCCTGCGTCGTGACGGGGAACTTAACGTGTAATGAGTGTATGAGCTCTCCAGCAAAAGTCTGCCAATGAATTGTAGTTTGTAGGGATATAGTGCAGGGACGCGACGCTTCTTCCATAACTCTTGCTAGGCCGGGCAGGCCTAGGCGTGCGGAAGGGTACCTAAATTGCCCGTCCATTTTGCCGGTGTCAAATCTTCGCTTATAGGCTTCGTCGAAGATTGTAAACGGAGTGAACGATGTTCCCGGCCTAATTCCGCTACCGGTTAAGTAGCGGTCGGTATTGTAATGGACTCTGATTTCGGCGACGCGAGGGAAGAAGATCGGGGTTCCCCTCAAGACCTCGAAAAAGTTGTTTCCAGCTTCTCCACTGGACACGTTATCGACAACGAGCTTAGTAATTCGGTCTCGTAGTAGTGCCCAGCGAGGTTCGCAGATCTTGTTGAATGGCGTCGAGTCGCAGCCTTTATCCCAAAAGACCTTCATCTCGCCGTCGAACGATTCCTGCCGTGCCTCGCGTGAATCCTCCCTAACCTTTTTACTGACCTGTGCGAGAGTCTCGTAGTCATACCCACGGATCGACAACCCGTCGTTATCATATAGTCTGTGGTATCTCCCATTTGGTGCCGTAGGTCGAACCATGAATACTCGTATTGGCTGCTTCTCTTCGTAGACGTGATTGTAGACCAGTTTCTGGATCTCCTGTGGGAGCTCGAGGAACCGGAAGGGAGAGACCGTTGAGGGACAGGGAGTACTAGAAAACGCATAGGGCATATCGGCTTCCCAGCCATTCTGCCCTCGAGTTCCATCGGTGGCTTCGTTGGCTGGATCGGGTAAGGGGTCCCATTCTTGACTTGGGCCACCTTCATCCCGACTGGAAATCGTCTGAAGAGGTCGAAGGTCAGGGGAGCCGACCCAACAATAGCTGCGGGGAGGACTGTCGATGTGTGGTTGACGGGAGGTAGAGGAGTGATTTTCCGAGCCGTCTGAAGCCATTCTAGGGTGGCTGCTGAACCTGTGGGAGCTGTAAGACAGGATAGATTAGGCGTGAAAGCTGTTGATTTCACCGCGCAGGTGTTCAAGGTCTCGAACAGGATGATCGGTTGTGGAGGAATGCGCGACGGGATTGCGCAGGATTCGGAGCTTTCTGAGGCAGCGAGATGGTTAACAGAATAGCCCAAATCGATTGCAACAAGGGCAGAGGGAGCCTGGAACGATACTCACGACAGGATGACTCTAACGGAGGCTTCGCGGATGTGACAGAATGCTCATGACCTCTGGAACCGAAGCGATGAAAATAATGAACCTGAGAAATCTCTGCGGCACAAATGTGCATGCTATATAGGCGCTGTGGTGTCGCTCGCTAAGCATTCCTTGTGAAGGATCAGGGCACACTCGTCTGCCTCCGGTGCGTGCACAGCGAACTGCTTACCCTTAGAGTTCGTGCTGGTCCGTGGAAGCGGTGGCGTGCCCTGTGGGGACAGCGAGCCGATAGGTGGCCCGGGCTTGGTGTAGAACTTGCCCCAATGGTTGATCTGGCTTACCAGCACTGGACCGGTGTACACGCCGGTCTTGGAGTCAAGTTTAACAGCTTCGTCGCGCCAGGATGACTCACACAGGTTGTACATGAGCTGGATGTGCACCAGTTCCTGCCAATCCCTCTTCTTGTGCTGGCAAGCCCCGCCCCAGTGACTGGGCCATTGCACGCTGGAGGTCTGGGTCGTTCATTTCTTCTTGATCCTTAAAGGACTTGACGTTGCTTGGCGAAGCCGCGGCATGCTTGGAGGAGAGTTCCGTCATGGAATTGTCGACTCGTGAAGGCGGACGGGATAGGGCGGCGACTCCTCCCATGCTCACTTCATCTTGGACTGGCGGAGACGTTTCTGTCAACATAGAAGCCCTCATGCAGTGTTTGTGCCCCAGATCTTATATATAATATAGTCTTGGAACTCCCAGTCATTGGAGGCAACCTGTACTCACGCTATCTGCCAGCAAGAAACGTGGAACAGGTTGCGGAAGTAAGTTACTCGGGCTGGGCAGACGTTGAGTGATGGCCAGTGACTAGATCTTTGGGGATCCTCGGAGATCGACAATCCAGATACTTCACTAAGCAGCAGCAAATACATCATGGGCAGCATGTTGAAGAACCCCAAGATTGTAAGGCGTAAAACTGTCGAAGATGCCCGCGGGATGCGCGGAGACCCATAATCTCGAGGTCTCCTTAAGTGCAAGACTAAGAGATATCTTGTGGTCTGGCTTCAACTTGACATGCTCTAGCTCTCGTCAACAAGTGGCTAGATACTTCCCTCCTGACCAAAAAGATTCCCTTGGTGGCTACCCGGCTCCTCTATAAACGTATCATCCGCGACGAGTTGATGGCCTTCGAGGTCCCCAGCCTCATCCCACAACTGTGTGAGACATGGTGAGTTGAAGCGCATGTACGGCCGATGGTTTCAGCGTGCTTGAGGAGGCCAGCGGCACTGGGGTACCTTTCGGTTGTATCTGGAGCGCCTGCCATTGTGAACTGCTTCCGAGACATCGTTGCACGCCTTCTGTTGCCGAATCGGCCGAGTGGCTTCTCCGATGCCCCGGCTAATAGCGTTGACTTCTTCTCGCACACCCTATCCGGTAGGCATTCCACAAGCCCACACCGCGCCTCGGCCGATAGCGCTGACCGTGCTCTTCAAGGCCTGTGAAGTGCTCTTGGACGCGGCCTCGGAGGTCTCTCGCGCCCTTCTTACGATATCTGATTCGGTAAACCACTGGACGGTGCCGGAGAGCTGCTTCGTAGATTTATTCCATTCTTTGGACGCCTTGAATTCCGTTCGAAGAGTGTCGACAAAGATTTGCCAGGGGGTTTTGTTGCCATGAGGTGGCGGAGGCGGACGGGACTCCTTACCCTTCTTCTCTTTTCTTTCTGGTTTCTCCTCTTCCTGGTCCTTTTCCTCTTTTTCCCTCACTTGCTTACGTTTCTACTTTGGCGTCCCAGAGCGGATTTTGAACTTCTTGTTCGGGGTCTTCCTTAGCCCAGGTTTGTTGGGATCGAGCTCCGGAAAGAAATCGAAGGAGAGTCCGATCGGCAAGTGCGAGTCCAAGGGAGAACGGCGTTGGGTGTGATGCGGGAGTGAGAGGTGAGGATTATTCTCGCGAGATAGAAGTAACCTTCTGTACACTGCAGTCCCTCCAGACTGCGCCAAAGCTCGGAGCGTGGTAAGTTACATTGGGGCTGTCATATAATTACGGGCAGTACGGATAGGTGCACGACGCATTATAATCATGCAACGGAGCGCTTTACTTTAAGCAAGGGTAAAGAAACGAGTAGCGCGCCGGAAGAAAAGCCTTTAATAACCTCGTTCATGGTCGATTGACACGCCTGCAAGATCGCGAAGGGGAATCGAATTTCGGCTTCGGGTAAACTTCCTGTTTCGTTGTAGAACATTTGATGTGGTCCATGTACAGGTCATGTCGGAACTCCTACCTCACAGTCATGACGCACCATACAGATTCAAGCTGCAGTAGTGGAAAGGTGGGATCTGGTGTCTCTAACTGCTAGGTGATCGAACCAGAAGGTCCCGGTTGCCTCTACACAAAAGCCATCTCAATCTATATTGAATTTATCTGCCTTGGCGAGTCCCTCAGCCTTGCGTTCGGAAACCTCAGCCTTGTGTTCGAAAACACCCAAATCACTTTTTATACATCACTTTTTGTGCACAAAAAAAGAGATACCTCTCTTCTCAACATGTAAAAACATGCAAAAACTCTAACCCAAGCCCAACTCCCCGGTGGGAGTTGAGGTTGGATCGAGGTAAAACCCCCAGCTGTGGAAGGGGTTTTTTCCCGTCGTTTCGTCAGGTTCTCTCCGGCCTCGGTCGCTCCCACGCTTAGGGAGGCCGTGAAAGGCGCGGAACAACTGGGCTACCTGCAGAAGGTAGTGCCATCAGTGTCAGAGCAGTTACCTTCAGGCAATCTCGTAACTCTCAAGAGAAGCTGTCCCAGATCTGGTGGCCACACCCTCACGCCCCAGCTAGCTCCGTCTGCACACTCGGTGTGGCCATCAGAGGCTGGAACCCGGGATAGACCTGGGAATTGTTGGAGAGAATTCAGGGTCTATAATATATATGTGTGTGTGATTCTGCCAGACCTTCTTACATGTGACATTCACAAAATGAATGGTGAATTGCCACACGTCTTTCAAGAGATGTTATCAATAAAACTCCTCAAGGTCATTCTCACTCTCAATCCAATCAATCCGCGGAACTCCATCCTTATACCGAGACGACGCACTTGACCTAGCTGTCAAGTCGTCGAATCTGTGAATCTCCTAAAAGATCTTATGTATCGGAGTTGGCAAGAATGAGCAAGAGTACCGTCCCAGAAACCTACGACAGCATCAGCCATATTTCGCCCTTTACTAGCAACTCTGATGTAGTATCCATGGTCGAAGGACGTGTATTCAACTCTCAAGAAAAGATTTCACCTCCAAGATTTCCGCGACAACCATGTGGAAGCCATTAATGCGACTCTGAGCGGCAAAGACGCTTTTGCGCTGATGCCTACCGGCGGAGGCAAGTCTCTTTGCTATCAAATACCAACTGTGGTTCTGAGCGGGCGCACGGCAGACGTGACTATTCTTGTCTTACTCTTGCTGAGTCTCATGCAGGATCAAGTGGATCATTGCAAAAATTGCACATTCTGGCTCTGCTCGTGAATGGACAGACGTCACCGGGACATCGAGATTATCCTCCCAGCCTTGCGATCTAGCGAGCCCGTGAAGTTCGTCCACCTGATATACGTTACACCCACGATGCTCAACAGGAGTCAGGCATTCTTCATGGTTTTTGTTTGGATCTGAATCAGAGGTGACTCCTTCCATGCATTGTGATTTAGGCGCTCACTACCCTCGACCGCCTGACCCGCCTGGAGGTCTGTGAGGATTTCCTCCTCCTCCGAACAAACCAGGAATGGCGAGACCCTGATTGCAGAAAGCAAAAAGCGAGAGCAAGAGAAGTTTCAAGGTGACCATGTTATCTGTCGCTTTCGTGGGATAATCTGAATAAGGGGCAGGCTGTAACGAAGTGAATGGCACTGGTGGGGATGGAGAGTTCAGCGAGTGACACCATCAGGTAGTTAACTCAAAAAATGCCTCTTCCACCATCATCGACGTCGGGAGCACCGGCGACAGTGCTGTGGCCCCTGTGACTGTGGCGCCGGTGGTCGGGATTGATTTGCAGATCGAACGTGGTGAATATTTTCTTGCTAAGCAGGGCAAGAGCGGGCTCGAGAAACAAGAACGGCGCGAAAAGCAGAAACAAAGAGGGAAGAAAAGCAACGGTAGCGAGAACAAGCATTCACGCATCGCTCAAGCCGCACCTCTCACCAACCTCCCATTACTCAACTCACATTCGCAGCCCTTCCTCGTCTCTACCGCTGGATCTGAACCTGTACATCATACTCGGTACGTCATCTTCTTCGCCTGTTGACACGGATTCCTCTTTGCATCCACCTGCGCCACCTAGATTTCGTTCATCGTCCTACCCTACAACAACACATCCTTACCGTCCATATGTTCAAGTAAACTATCGCACACACCTGAACATCTCGTCAACCTGGGAATGTTTTATTTAGAACAACCTTTGGCCAACACCGGGCCTCTCGCTCGCGTCTGGCTCGCCTCCAATGTCGAGCGCAAGTTCAACGTCGGGGATTTGCTTCTCGCCCTATCCTGAACAGGTTCAGATCGAAGTTGCCTCTATAGACTGCTCCAGGTGTGACCAAGTACGATCGTGATCTGTATTAGCCAGCTGTCGAAGTCAATCCCGTAAGCCGAGCCAAGCGAAGGCTGATCTCACTGACTGAACGTTAGGAGGAGCTCATTCGCATCTTGAACGCATCTGGGGAGGCACCTGGCAAACGCATCATTCCGGCCACCCGGTTTGTATCTTCTGAAATCGACGGAGTTGGCATTGACCATCTTGCCGTGTTCTTCGAGCTAGGGCATCCACCTCTTCCAGCGGTCGCTTGAGATGGATCCACCGAGGACCTTGGTAGGGATTGTGTCCAGTCTGATCATGAACCCGCTGGGGACTCCTCAAGGTGCCAGCGAAGCTGGTAGGGGCTTCCCAAAGGTTCAACGGGCCTCAGGGTCGTCCTAGACGCGGTCCTGGACGTGGCCCTCGAGGTGGCGCTGGGGTCCGTCTTGAGAGTGATCCTGGAGATGGCATTGCATGTATTCCTAGGGATTGCCTACTAGGCACCAGTAAAGTCACTATCGCCGCCCACAGAGTGTATAGGTGTTGTGACTAAATCGGCATGTATTGCTGGCACTCACAGAGACCTGCGCCCGACTGACCGCGACGATTGACTGCCCACTGAGTCTTTCCACGCCGACTTTGGCTGTGAGTCTGACTTGAGTCTGTGATGCTATAGTTCCACCTTTTCTCTCTGACGGCAGCAAGGCCTTCGAGGGCTGAAGATTACTTCGAGGAGAGGAAGAGGTCGTAGACTAACTTGGGGCGATTTGAGAGGCCTATGATTCTGTCACCCGGGAAGCAGGGCTGTTACAATGACTGTTACAATGCGCTTCCCGGCCGACAACACCCCATGGGGCCAACGGCCCCCAAGTGCCAAGGCGGCCCCCACGAGGCATACACAGGAAAGAGATAAATAGGACCTCTATTCTCGCACTGCTAGAGAAGCCCTCAACAGTGCGAGAAGTCGATGTCTCAAGGACAGCTTTATACAAGAATCAAGATACGTGTTCAACCCTCTGACTCTTCGTCTAACGATCCCACCCCAAGGCTCTCTGACAGATTCAGTTAGTTTTGCAGTTCCTTAACCCAGCTCACAGGGGTTTTCTGAGAGAGAGTTAGCATAGACGAATCGGACGATACTAAACGAACAGATTGTGACTGTTAGACAAAGGTTGGATATCGCGATAGGATCGTAGTGCTGAAGTGTTGATGAAAGCTGAATTGGTAGTTGCGGCGGCGACAAGACGGAAATAAACTCAAACCCGGAGCGGAATGACTAAGATTTGGGGAGGTGACGTCACCCTTAGTCTCAACAGACAATCGGATAAGTGCCGGTAAGAGCTGACCAATCAGCGGTAAGGGCTGTTAGTGTAGAGAAGCCGGCGCTTATTTTGACCAGAGTCACGCGATACCAAACTTTCTGCCGTCGTGCCAGGGGAATAAATCGTAGCAAACTGCGCAATTTACACTTACCGTCAACACCGCTGAAAAGATCTCAGCCAACATCTTACTTTTATCCTGCCTTTGAAGATGCTTACAACCAGTCGATTACCTCGTCCGTCCAACCATCCTGGAGTCTTTCGCTCACCTCCTGGACCCTCTCCTGCACCACCTCCTCGAGCTTCTCCTCCTCAACGTCATTCAATCAATCCTCACCCTGCTGATCGACGTGATCATCCACAACCGATGTTCAGAACCTGTATCAGCTGTGGGAAAGTGAAGGACATAGACAATTTCAAGCCACTACATGGGACGAAGGAGACTATACGATGTATTACCTGTCGTGAAAGAAGAAATTCCGCCAATCGCAGGAGGCACACTGCTTCTTGGGAGCTTCGCTCTGTTGCTGTTGGGATGCCATCCTCCTCCGCTGTTGATGAGGTGTCACCAGCATCATCCTACAAAGTCTGTCCGGTCTGTACTGTAATCAGGCCTGCAGAAGAGTTCAAGGCTGTGCGACCCAACGAGGGTCTGACACAATACCTTGCCTACCTTCCGACAGCAAGTGACGGAAGATCCAAGAAGCGGTCCGCTGATGATTTGGGACTATCCGTCCCGGGATATGTACGCCGGCCAGCGTCAATCCAGCAGCCCCAGACTCGGGCTCAACGTCCCAGGCTGCGTTTATCGATCCCAACATCCCACGGCTCCAAACACCCCATTCACGAAACTCCACAGCCAGGAGCCCAGTACTTCATCTGCGTTCTCTGTACGGTTCCACGGGCTCAGTGGCGTCGCATGCAGGACACGGAGGGCGACTACTGCCATTACTGTCGACGTGGGGTTCTCATTTGTGATCAACTGAAGTGGTGCGTGAGGGGCCGACACGAGGTGGCACGGCAGACCTGCTTTCATGATGGGGAGGAGAGTCCAGATTGCGCTGCCTGTCGCAGTTACGTAGAGGTTGAGCGGGAAAGAGATGAATACATCCGTGGTGGTTGCCCACGGTAAAGGTAGGGTCGTCGGTTACCTTTCTATACCTTAAAATATACAGCATGATATGAATCTTGAGACACCTTTCTCTAGTACAGCATGTCCTGACTCGGCCATGATGCCACAATGAGTACATGCATCAAGCACATACGTACATACGTACGTGTCCACACATATATACGAGGCCGCGGACGTGGACGTGGCCCTTCCTTCACCAGGACACACATGCACATACACACATGCTCGCTCTTTCTATCCACCTGCGTGTTTGCGTAGTCAAATGTTTGCGTATTATGTTTTTGTTATGCCTCGAAAAAATAAAGAAGGAAAGAATCGTCGCCGCAGCCGACGATGACGAAAAGTACGAAAATGAGTACGCTCCTTCGACCACTGGCGCACTGCACAGCAACGCATCTCATTGTCTCACCTCATCTCTCTCACACACGCCCCTCCTTCTCCGGTAGGTATATGTATGACTATAAACATATGCATATGCATACACACATACACACACACTACCGGACGGGGCACCGACCGTAGGAGGGGCATCGATTGACGAAGAACTTACTTACTTGTGCGCGGTACCAAACAAGGGAACAAAAAAATAAGGGAGGCAGAGAGTGAACAGTCAGTCAGTCAGTCCATACTGTCCACACATACATACAGTGTTTCCTTCTTGCTTTCTTCCTTCTTTCTTGATCGAATGTCCCGTTCCGCGCAGTTAACTAGCTTGCCAGCCGAGGATACCTACTCGGGTTTGGTGTGAGCGAGCGAGAGTGAGCGAGTGAGTGATTAGCACCGCACCGCTCTGCTCCGGCTCGTCCGACTCGTCCTCGTCCAGTGTGGCGGGAGGGCTTTGCTGGGCGGCCAGCCACGCCTCTGATCGGTCACCTCTGATCGGCGCTTATCGATTGGCTGTTGAACGCACATCTCACGCGACTAGGATGGACATTAAATTAACACCAAGAAGTTCTTGCTTTTATCATTCCATCCATTTCCATCTCGTCGTCAACCCGGCCACCAACTTAGCTGTCATCCACATCCCCATCGCCACCACATCGCCACCACACCACCACGATATCAAACCTTCATCAAACAGTCTCAATCTGATTCGTTGAGGAATATCGAATTCGGCTGTGGTAACTCTCTCTCAAAAACCTCTGGTGTGCTGAGTTGTGAAACCGCGAAACTAACCGAGTTACAGGTCCCCTTGAATCGGGCATGCTCAGTCCGAACACTTCTCCTCTCCTCGAAGCAACCCTCCGCCCTTGAAGGCTCTGTTGGAGTTGGATAGAAAAGGTGGAATTGTGACATTACAGACCCTGGTCACACTCGCTGTCAAAGGCCCAGTGGGCAGTCATTCATTGCGGTCAGTCGAGCACAAGTCTCTGTGATTGCTAGCAAATCATACCTGTTTGGTTGGAATACCAATACACTTTGCGAGTGGCGATAGTGACGTTTCAAGTGCCCAGTAGGTAATCCCTAGGACCACGTGTATAGCGACCTCCAGGACGATCCTCGGGCCCATTGAGCACTTGAGAAGGCCCTACTGGTTTCGCTAGCACCTTGAGCAGTCCCCAGTGGGTTTAGACCTCACAATCTATCTTACCTGGGCCACAACATGTCAACGCATTGCCACGAAAGCCAAAGCACCTCCGGGCGACATGGACTTCCATTTCACGACACTACTGTCCTTCATCCCGTGTTAACCCTGGCCGGCGATTGTTTGCTGCCGGAGATTTTGGCCTCCATACCGAATGCGTTTTCCCAGATAGACCAAAAATGGATTTGCTACCGCCGAAACTTCTTTGCAGTACAGTGTTCTGTTACATTCAGGAACGGCGTGGCCAACGGACCGTTCTTTCTCAGTAGCGATGGCTTCCCTGAGTTGATCCAGCAGTTTGCCGTGTCGATCAAGGCAAAGACAGTCTGGGCTGATGCCGATGTGATCCTGAAACCTGTCAATTCGATCAAGGATGAGACAGCCTCGACTAGTAACGAGGAAAGAGAGGCTCAGGACCTTATTGTCCAACATACCTCTAAACGAGACAAGGCAACAATGTCTATTCCAGGCCGCCACCTCATTGCACCGTCCCCTAACCATGGCATTGGTACAGATGGCACGTACACGAGCGCTTTCCATGTGTATGGAGCACTAGACTCTCTCCACTCGGGTATGATAGGTGCCTTTCCAAGCTTCGGGAGCCCCGGCACCAATTCAATCCCGACATGCTATACATTTGATAGGCTTCAATTCCGGAAATCCACCGCCCATAACGGCAAACGGCATAAAATGCAAGAACGGTTTATAGTGGTGGTCGAACTCTCTGCGAATATTGGCATGTTTGGCGACGAAAACTGGGTGGTGATAGCAACCAAGGACTCTGACCGTATAATGGCGCGTGGCCGATCCCCCGGGCATTTCAAGGAAGACGAGTCGCCAGATAGCGAGCCGAGTATGGATCCCGATCGCGAAACTGGACATGGAACCGATGGGCATGAGGTCCAGGCAACTACGGGACCACCCATTCTTCCATAGATTGGATAGGAGGTCATCAATAGGGAAGGCGTTTGGGAGATGTAACTACCGTCATGCCCTACTTCTCGCCTTGCTTCAGCGAGTTTAATCTCCTCGAGTACCCTAGCTAGAGCGTCCACGGGTATTGGAGTCAGCCTCTGCGACTCTCGTACGGCAAAGTCGCCTTGCACCTTGTCGTCGCGCCGGTCTGCACTGACGCCACTGTCGGAAGGTAGTGACGATATTATGTTCAGCAGTCTCTTCTGTGAGAGCACCAGTCGTAAGAGGTCATTCAAGCACGAAGGAGCCGGGGAGCATGTCCACTTCACGCGACTGGGCCAGTCGCCGACAGCATGACCTCGCTCGTCGATTTCTCGGCCACGCCGTAGTCGGCGACGATCGCTCGCTATGCCAATCGATACAGGCAGACTTTTCAGCGGCACTTTAATTATCTCGAGTTTGTTCGTGAGTAAGACTTCGAATTATATAAAAAAAAGGCTCGAGGCGGCTCGATTGACATGATTTCACATCTTTGTTTGGGAACTTTACGGGTTTCTCCAGTGTGCTTACTGCTTGCTTGCTTGCTTCAAAGTGGTATGTATATCCATTTCAATTGCTGCTACTACACTGTCAGGGCCTGTGGAATGGAGCCCCGGGGCTCGCCGACGACCGGCAAGTGCTGATAGGCTCATTCCAGGAGGGTCAGCGCTGCGAACTGAGCGTGAGCCAAACTACTCACAGCAAATGCGCGCCACCTACTAAACATTCTTTGTAAAAGGCTGTCACGGAGGTACCTACTGGGAAGCACGAGTTTACGAGACAAAGAAGGCGCGCCGAAATGGGCGCACAACTTGGAAGTAAACAAAGGAATGCGGTCCATGAAGTATCAATCTAACAAAGCACAGACCAACGAAGCGCCCAATCCGGCATGTTTGAAAGCGTCAGGGGAATTCCACAACGCCGGATGCGATAGTGCTGGAGACAAACTTCCTTTGTCATTTCATTGTGTGCTGAACGGCGCACGAGGGAGTACAAGAACCACTACAGTCTAGAATAGCATCCGTCGTGTATAAAAGGAGGCCCTCACCAGCAAGTGTGGTCCAAATTCCTCTTCCACCTTTCGCATGCTCGAAAGGTCACTATATATATATATCTCTGCGAAGTCTCTCGCTACGGTCACCGGTCGCTCACAGCAACTGCACAAGCAAACCCGGAATGGCACAAGCTGACCCGGAAGCACCATTTTGCCGGTGTCGGTGCTGTCTGTTCACGTCAACAGCACAAGCAAACACGGATGAGCACAAGCAGACCAAGAGGCACCATTTGCCGGTGTCGGTGCCGTCTGTTCACGTTAACAGCACAAGCAAACACGGATGAGCACAAGCAGACCAAGAGGCACCATTTGCCGGTGTCGGTGCCGTCTGTTCACGTTAACAGCACAAGCAAACACGGATGAGCACAAGCAGACCAAGAGGCACCATTTGCCGGTGTCGGTGCCGTCTGTTCACGTTAACAGCACAAGCAAACACGGATGAGCACAAGCAGACCAAGAGGCACCATTTGCCGGTGTCGGTGCCGTCTGTTCACGTTAACAGCACAAGCAAACACGGATGAGCACAAGCAGACCAAGAGGCACCATTTGCCGGTGTCGGTGCCGTCTGTTCACGTTAACAGCACAAGCAAACACGGATGAGCACAAGCAGACCAAGAGGCACCATTTGCCGGTGTCGGTGCCGTCTGTTCACGTTAACAGCACAAGCAAACACGGATGAGCACAAGCAGACCAAGAGGCACCATTTGCCGGTGTCGGTGCCGTCTGTTCACGTTAACAGCACAAGCAAACACGGATGAGCACAAGCAGACCAAGAGGCACCATTTGCCGGTGCTCGTGCTGGTGGCGCACACTTGGTCGCCCACAGATAAGAGAGAGCTTGTAAGCAAGTCAGAAAACTAATAAAAAGTTGATACTTAACTCAATATCAAATAAAACGCTCCTCCACTCTCAAGTATGTGTGATAACCTCGTATGCAGCTTCAAAGGACTTTTGAGACTACAATTCTCATATCCTGTGGAACAGCTCCGCTCCCGTCATGGGCTTTGCGGCAGAAGCTCGTCTTGACCACATTTTATAGGACAGATCCCCAGATCTTGCCAACTGATGATACGTCGCTGTCTGTCATGGTTGAACAGGGCGAAGTGACATGGCGCGTGCCGGTGTCGGGTCTCCGTATGGGTTATTGTCCAAGTCCACTTCTTGTTCGTCTGGAGGTATAGTGGATATCTCCCATTCTTGATTCTCTTCTTGAAGTGACTTTTGTCTCCTCTTGCGTTTCTGAGTGGGTGAAACAGGAAGGGCAGGGAGGACATGGCCGAAGGTAAGGATGGGTAAATGCTGGTAGGGCCTCTGAGAAGGTCGTCTGTCTGATGGTATCGAGTAGAATTCTCGAAGTGATAGTAGCCACTGAATCGTCCATTGGGTTGTTCACTTCAACTGATTGGTAAGGGATCCCAGGCAGATGTCTAAGCAACTTTACAACCATGGTCCCGACGTTCACCGGTTGAGACTGAGATATTTGTCCAGAACTTTCTCCTGCTCTTGTCTCATTTCGCCTGCGCGGTTGTTCCGCGGCATCTCCGCGGCCGGGGCGTTGAGGTTAAAACATTGTGAGATGGCTGTTCAAAGATCTAAAGCTGACTTGGAGGTCTGAAGAATCCCGTGACAAGTTGCGTTGTGTTGGACAGATGAATAGATGGGTCCTCAACCAGAAGAAAGTAAGCAAGCGGGCGAGTAGCGACGTACCCAGCCCAGCCTGACCCGACCTGCACTCGTGCGTTGTAGGTCTTGTCTGCTCCACCGTATCCATACCTGGGGAAGACTCTTGTGGGAGATAATAAGTGCGCTCCCCGCCGGTTTGCACCACCACAGTGATTTTTGTCATAGATTCAAGATTCTCAATTTGTATAGATTTTCCGGAAGCGCAGGGACCTCGTTGCCGTCGCCGCCGTCTCTTCGGAGAGGAGGGGAGAGCAGTGTATTCCTTGGTGTTCGGTGTTTATCTATATCTCGTTTCCGAGCCTACCGGCCTGCCTGCCTGCCTACCGTGCTGTGCCGGCCTTCGCTCGCTCACACACGCGCGCACGCAATACAACCCTGACAGAATAGACAAGACCTGGCTGGTATGGTTGGCGTGGACATCATCGTCCTTCCATCGTCCACTGTCCGTCCGTTGACGAAACTGTACTGCATCATCCTTATCACAATATCGCCACACCACCACGGTCGGGTCATGGGGCCGCGTCGTGCGTCATGCGTCGTGGCATCTATCTGGACGTGAACATGAACATCAACATACATCACAAACCATAAATACACGCACATAAAAGTACGCGGACCGGCTCCAATTGGGGCGGAATCAATTGGTCCTGATTCCAATTCGCGCCCACGTCCTCGCCATGGGCGCGTACACTTCCGGCTCGTCGTTCGTCGTTCGTTCCTTGTGGCGGGAAAGGGAAGGGATGGGTAACAACGCACACACACACACACCCCGTTATATGTGTGTTTCTTTGTTTCTTTCCTCGTCTTCTTCTTCTTGTCCTTCTCCTCCTCACCCCCCTCCCCCTCCTCCTCTTCTTCTGCTTCTTCTTCTTCCATACCCCAGCACCTCTACCACGTTCTAACTCGGCTGTTAGGCCATGAAGCCGTAAGGAAGGATATGAAGCACCCACGTGTACACATGCGGCTCTGGACGTGGAGTGGGACGTGGGCCTTCCTTCGCCAGGACACTCACATAGACACACACGGGGCCGGCCAACTGGACATGGACACTCCTCCAGCGAGCACGCAAGCCCGGTTCACAACAGCAACGCTAATCCGGTGAACCAACAGGCGAGGACAAGTCACGCCACCGGGGCCTTACAGAACAACAAGGGGCATGCACCACAACAACAGGAACCGCAACCTGGTTTCTCCCAGAAGATGATGAAAGTGCTCGGTTGCGGTATGTTCCCCAGGCACATGAGTCTACAATGATCTACAAATTGACATCCCCCACCAGCTTGGAATTACCGAACAGGATAATCGCCCACGCAGCCCATTTCTCATTGATCTCGACGGCCAACCTACTCCGTGGTCAGCGACCTAGGATTTTGAACGCCCGGGAACGAGAAAACGACCAGTGTGTATACAACCAACAAACGAACGAACAAACAATTGGCGGTGATTACGGGGGTTTGTCGAGACCGCGAGAAGGACAAAGGAGACCACACAGCGAAGTACAGCTTAGCGCAGGTAAATATCAGGTATGTGAATCACGGCTCTTTGAGACAAGCTGGTCAATACGAGAAGCCAAACAGAATGATGGGGACGGAGTGTCTATTGTCTTGCATTGTGTGCAGAGACAAGGGACAAAGAAAGAGACTCCACTCTCACTTGCCACAATGACAATGACAACCACAAAAGAGACTAGCACTAACACTAAACACGGTCTAGACATAGACGAAGCTGGAGAATAAGCACCGCTGCGTCGCAGATTTGTACAGTACAGAGCACGGCGTCAAGAACGCTGAGGATGGTGGGTAGGGCTGGTATCACTCTCCGTGGAGTGATCGTCTTGCTGTTTTGTTTCTGGTCTCCTCTTTAAATCGATGGTGGGACATCCGGGTGTATATGTGTGATTGGGAGCCACATCACACACAAGAAGATGTCAGTTCTGGACGCTTTTCGCGATTCTGCGCCTGTGGCATGGCGGGCTGTGCAAACTGTCAACAGTTCTGCAACAAAGAGTCTACGAAGGAGGGAAACCGAGTAGCTTTACCCTTCAAATCTGCAGAAGGTTGTCACTATCACAATGACAAATTGCTTTTCCAATGCAAAGAGATGGCAAACTGTTCCATACCTAGACTTGAGCTTTACATTGCCCGACCGAATGCCGTAGCTCTTGCACTGGCGGGCAGATATGTTGCAGAGTCAATCAACCCACTGGCTACTTCTTTGTTGCTGGTCACCTATTTGACTGCCTTGACAGACTTGGGGTCCTCAATGTTGAATTGATGTCACACATAATCACGCTGGCGGCCACAGCCTGCATCAATACAAAGCATAACGCGACTTGTGTAACTCTGACTCATAACCCGCTACACTGAAGGCTTAGAGAAGTCACTCGAGGCAGTGTTTGTCTCCGTGCAGCCTGGCGGTGATTAGTTCGGCCCTCTGCCTAGTCGAGTCACAGTATCACATTCTCAGGCCATCACGTATTCTCCCACTGCCTTACATTATCAAACAGCATCCAGAGGCAGTGGTGAACTCTGACATCAGACCCCGCCTGCTGGCGCGTAGCCTGCATGCGTCCGTCCTTAAATATCTCCCATTTCCTCCAGCTTTTGCACTTTCTCCTTCTTCCGCACAGCACACATCCCCACGCCACAGCATCCTCTCCTCCCCTCTCTATTCCTCAGTCTCCAGCAACTCATGGCAGTCTTGCAACGCCCCTTCGGGCTTCTTCTGCGTTGCCTGTCTCGTGGAGTGTTACAGATACCTTACAAGCAATAGCTTGCTCTGACAACATCACCAAACTGGTCAACAGTTCATCTACCTCAACAAGATCTGTCCGTTTCCACTTCACGGTATGAATAAGACCAGCACATGTGGTTTATTAAGTACAACATATCTCACCCAATAACCATGCCATCTGCAACAGCACCTCGACCCAGCCTTCTCCGCAGTGGGAAGGACACCTCAACGCCGGAAATTGATGCTGGCAAATCTCTCAAGTCAACCATGTTTGTCCGTCTGTATCCAACACATGTGACCTTAGCGGTGTCTCCCGAGCCAGAGATGCGGGATGATGCGAAGGACCCCATTGACCTGGAGTTCGGGACGTCATCAAGTCGCCTATTGATCCAGAGCCAAGAAATCCGAGTCCTCTAAGCCGTACCGCCAACACGAGTCACATCGACACTCCAGCTGATTTGACTTGGATCAGCTAAGTGGTCTGTTCGGCACCAGAGCTATTGACGTGTATATAAATATGTCGACTGTGGTCCAGTTCAGTCCCTGCGCCGTTCATCAATCGGCTACTGGTTGGGTCGGGGAGGTCACTCTTTCGATCCCCTCGAGAGAACCGCGTTGTCCGCTGGTAACGTCAAAACCGCATTCGCCTCCCTCTCCATCCACCAGGCATGCCTTGACTCTTCGGAGCGGTGACCCGGACAGAGCGTCGACAGCCAGTCCAGGCCACCGACTGTTGCGGAATGGCAGGCAACCTTTATATATATTTATTCATCAGGCACCAGGCCCGCCCCAGCAGCTCCTTCGGCAGGCGCCCTGGTTCGATCTGGGGTACGGTGTGCCCTGGCCCAGCTGGGTCCTCCAACGACCGTCGTGCCGCCCTGGTTCGATCTGGGGTATGGTGTGCCCCGGCCCAGCTGGATCCTCCAACGACCGTCGCGCCGCCCTGGTTCGATCTGGGGTATGGTCCTGGTTCGATCTGGGGTACGGCCCTGGTTCGATCTGGGGTACGGTGTGCCCTGGCCCAGCTGGGTCCTCCAACGACCGTCGCGTCGCCCTGGTTCGATCTGGGGTATGGTCCTGGTTCGATCTGGGGTACGGTGTGCCCTGGCCCAGCTGGGTCCTCCAACGACCGTCGTGCCGCCCTGGTTCGATCTGGGGTATGGTGTGCCCCGGCTAGCCAGCGCCCTCAACGACGGTCGTGGGTGTTGGGACAGATTCATCTCCCTCAAGCTGATGGCCGGAATGCGCAAAGGGGAGGACGCGTTGGGGCTGCTGAGACAACAACTGCAACCACAGTCACAGCAACCGCTGGGGCTGGCGATAAGACAGCAGCAGCAGCAACACCTGCCGCAACAACATCAACATCATCATCATCCTGCGTCGGTCGGCGCGAGGTTGGCAATGGCAGCAAAGGCAGCGAGACGAATTCAAGCTCCGGACAGTCATCCAGAATCGACGTGCGGACGATCAAACACAGCTTTTCAACAGTGACATCTTCAAGTTAGCGAGGCATCGAATCGTGGAAGCTCTTGGACGTCGGGTCCAACTCCACGAGATCAAATCTGAGAGCACAATGCGAGCAGCAAACTTTTGGAGAGATGTCGGAGGTTGTTCGACAACAGTTCCAACGGGAGGTTAAACAACCCCAGTCCCAAACTGAAGCTCTCCAGCGCCACAATACAGAGCTCAGCGTCGGCCGGCAGCAGGCCGAGACGGATTTGACCTGTTGCAGATGATGGGCTGCAAACAAGATGGCCCTTGGAAGGCTGTGTACGAGTCCTAGAGTTACCGGAGGGGGCAGTTTATTCAAATACCTCACAAATATGTTCGCAACGTGTCGGTCGGTCTGCTTATGCATCTACTCGGTGGCACAATTTATGCTGCGTATGCGTGTCTCGATTACAGTCCTTGCGCCTACTGCCTTCTTTGTCGCCTCTTCCAATGACTCCTGCCATGACTTCGGTGGCGGATGATCCTTGGTCCTTGCTTGCTTGCTTGCTTGCTTGCTTGCTTGTTTGGTGACGCGGATGCAGATGCAGAAGAAAGAAGGAGTCTTTAGTCTTGGTCTCCCAGATCTCCCAGATCCATTTCCCCGTGTATCGTTTGATATTGACAGTGTGGATAGAAACCGAATTCGCACAGACTTGCGCGGGATATATGCCCTTATGCAAGAATAAACTTATAACTTGGTGCATTCTCCCGGACAGGGGCCCAATTTCTGCCACAGATTTCATGATAATCACTCAATTCAATCATTTTGCTTCCACATTAAGAACATAATTCTTGAGACGTCGCCGGATAAGCCCTTCCATGGCTTCTCGAACAACCAGACATCAATACAGAAGTTCCCACGCGGAAGGACGCTGCAAGGCCTCGGGCGAAAGGGCCATACCACAACAGCCGCTTCTTTCGATGAAGCCAGTCTGGTCCCCGAAGCCATCCAGCGACGCCTCCGTGACTCAACCCGATCTTAGTACGACGGCGCAAGCTGATACAGGAGGAGTCATTGTTAGGGTGCAATTATGACATTAATTCCTGAGACGAAGGAATTCAATTTGTGGTGGCGGCAGCGGCAGTGTAGATAAAATAGATAAAAGTGCACCCAGCTTTGTGCGGAGTAACAGTGCCAGTCACCTGGGTGCGAAACCGCGCTTTTGCCATGTTATTTCCATCTCATCGCCGCTACTGCCGCTTCCAACTCAGCTCTCATCTACGCCTTCCGTGACCACGACATCACATCTTCATTAAATAGTCTTAACCTGTTCATTGAGCGATCTCCAAACTGTCTGTGGTCACTCTCCCCCACAAACTCCCTTGCAAGCTAAGTGGTGGAACTGCGAAACTAACTGATTCACAGACCTCTCAAATCGCTCCCAGTCAGTCTGCGGCCTTCTCCTTCACCCCAATCAATCCCTGGTCCTTGAAGGTTCCGCTGGCGTGGGATAGAGAAGGTGGAACTGTGGCATCAACAGACCCTTGTCAGACTCGCAGTCAAGGCCGAGCTGGAGCACAGGGCTCTGTAGTTGCCAGCAAAACATACCTATTGGGAGAAGTCCCCTCAAGAGAAGGAACAAGATTGAGAGCAGTTCGTTATACCTCCAGAGTAATAGAATCGAGGACTCGGACAATAACGCATTAAGGAGCTGTAACACCGGCACGTAGCATATCGCTCCACATGTGTCAACCACAACCCACACTGTCATACGCGATAAGATGGACAACGACGGAAACAAGTACCCGAACATGAAGGAACGGACTTCGGCCCCAATCGGATTCGGTTTGTCTATGAGGAGTAATTCGCCGTTTATGCTCAGTTCTCCCCTCGAGAGACTTCGAACCCCCTACAGACCCCGGAAGGGATGGATTCGCCGGAACCTTATACTGCCTTTATCTCGTTTAGTTTCCGCGGTCGTTCCAACGCTTCGTGATAGCCCCTTAGAGTCTATTTTATTCTGCTCTCACTATCAATCATTCACCTCTCTCCAGCGTCTGACCCATCCCAGCTGTGTGGTCAACATCAAAGCACTCACCTCACTCGCCCCCCTCCATCTTCTGCCTCGTTTGTCCAGCAGAAAAGCCCATACCGCCCCATCTATCATCCAGCAGACCTTTTGGTCCGTAAGGTCTGTGCGGTGCACCTGGTGCAAAGGATTCGAGACCACTCACGGACCATACCAGGAGATTGCAAGGGATACAGAACGCGGTGGTACGTGCACAGACATACCCGGGAAGGGCGTTATTAGGGAATGGCTGGAATGGCATAGCCAGGGATAAATAGGACAATGGTACTCGCGCTGGAGAGGGAACTCTTTTCCTTCTTTAACAGTGCCAGTAGTCGATGTTTCAAAGACAGCTTTATGTAGGCAAGAGATACGCATTTAACCCGCATTGTATTCGTCTACCGGGTCAATCCCAAGGCTCTCTGACACACGCAACTAGCCAAGTCAGTTATGCATTCCCCTCCTCCTCTCTTCTCAGTCTCTCTCTCTTCTCTTTCTCTTCCCACCGTGCCACAGAACAGATCTCGAGCTGCCTCCCCGTTCCCGTCCCCGTCACCATACCTCCCATCCTCCCACTGCCGTCGTCGTCGTTAGCAGAGCAGTGGATGAATGCGGTGGGACGAATATACATACATACATATCTACATACTCTTCGGACGGGCGCTGATGACTGCGGCGCGTGTGCTGCTTATGTGTATATGGGAGGCGTTAGGAGAGGCGGTGGGTTGATTTAAGGTTAAGTGAACACACACACACACATCCACCGCGAGCCATTTGCCATATGGACACACATGCACACGCGAGAACGAGAATGTGCAACAAACAAACAAGCGGCGACGGGGACGCGGATGCGGTGGAAAGAAGCCTGCCTTGGTCGTTGGTCTTTGGTCCCCTAGATCCCGTGAATCCATCTCACGATGCTCGGCTCGGCTGACTGGGCTGAGGAAAAGGTATCTGTTGGGTTACCTCAGTTGGGTTGGATAGTTGGATGGGGTCCCCAAGCGTAGCGCAACGGGCCCAGCACAACGAAAACTCACGTGAACTTGAATGATATCAGTCCGAACAGACATAGGGAGTGGATTCTTCGCTGTGAACCAGCAGTACGCCTGTACTGATCATGGGGCATGAGGGAGGCAATGGGTTCAATATGTCTTCCCTGCGGGTCAGGGGCATATTAGGTTCTTGTGGGAGAGCGAGCTGCGCACCATCAACCCTCCAGTCCTGCAACAGTCTTGCATTCCTGCATTCCTGCCATCTTACATTCCTGCGGTCCTGCATTCCTGCATTCCTGCAGCAATCTTGCATTCATCCATTCCTGCAACACCCTTGGCAGAGATGGCTGGCTGTCTCTCCTCTTTCGATATCCATCAATCAATTGTGTGCCCGACCCGAACACCAGTCCCTTCTCTTTCTCGTCGCGTCGTCAGGGCCTCGTGCTTAGAGCGTTCGAGGAAAGTAGGATCACAAGCCCAGCGGATTATCTGCATTCTGCTCCTTGCCTTCGAATGGCTCTTTCATTCTCTGTCCCTCGGCCTCCTCTTGGTTGGCCAAGCCCCCTCCGTGGTTCCCGCGGCCGACGCCGAGCTGTTCTCCCCAGCTTTGCCCATTCTCATGATACCACCAACTGCGGCCTCCCACGGGAGCCGGCCACCTTTTCCAGGCCGGGGCCTACCTATTTGCCCACGGGGGAAAGGGCGCCTTCGATCTCCTCGCCCTTGATGTCGCCGAGTTGTTAGGGCTTCGACGCTTCGGAGGAACCTGGTGGGTTTGAAGTCGGTGAGCTTCCGAAAGGCCGACAAGAATGCATCAGCAAGGGAGCGTGGCTGTACGTTCCTTACTTCTTTTGCCCTTCGGTGTCCTGGGCTTGGGCGTTTTTCTTATGTTCTGGGGGGACATGTTGGGTTCGGAGTCAGGAGAGATGGTGCTGTTGTCGATAAGTTGGATGCGATTCTCATGAGGAGCTGTGCTCATTCTCTGCCGTGCAGTGAAGGAGGGGGAGAAAGGAGAACGTTGCTGTGGCACTCACGCCCGCCCACACCGCAGGGTTAGCTCTATACTCGCTCTGTCTACTGGCGATGTATGACGCTGCTCGATCAAGGGTCTTTGCTGCTAGGATGCGGAGGGATGGTTGTGAGGCGGATGGGTGGATGACGCAGCTCAGTAAACAAGCTGGGCCAGAATCCTGAAAGCAAAAAATCTTTCACAAAGTCATGTGATAACCGTCTGAGTGCTGTGACTGGCAAGAATGTCCAAGCAATATATCGGTGGACCCGGCACTCAACCGCTCTGGTGTTGGCTCTTTCGTCTGATCTATCTCCCAGATATCAAAATGACCTCGATTCTGGCCACTGGGTTGCAGACGCTGACGCGGGCTCCCCGGGGAATGCTTAATGTTCGGGAAAGAGGATGTCGTTGATGGAGAATCAAAAGATTGGCTGTTCGATGGTTGAACACTCGGCAAAGAAGATGTCGACGGTTGAGGATTGAATAACTGAATGTTCGATGGTTGAACATTCAGGAACTGATCCGTCTGATGGGGAGAGTAATCCCGGAACTCGCCATACCTAGCCATCTGAGCCTGAGGCATGAAGGGATACGGACTACCGTAAGCCGTCGGTGGCGGAAAGTAGGTCGGTTGGGCAGGGTATGAGATCTCCGGAAGAGGCTGCTGCTGCTGTTGTTGCTGTTGTAATCCAGTCTCTTCTTCAGCGACCCGCCATCGAAGAGAGTCTTGCCGAGCCTGCAGCTCCGCGATGCTGCGCCCAGGAGAATCAAGCTCTGCTTGAAGGTCTGCGGAAGGCGAAGCAGGAGCTTCTGACGGTAACATGGGACGAGTCCTGAAGTGCACACTCATGCCATCCTGTTTGTGCTTCCCGGCGAACTCTTGAATTTGTCGGACGACACGCCCAACGAATTCGTCCAGCTGCGACGGAGAAAAATTCACCTCTAGTTTGACAGCTTCGGGCATGTCCATATCAACCACCTTATTCTCGCCTTCAATGATGCCATTGGCTTTGGCACGTTTGGCCCCTCTTCGCGGAGTCAACAACACTCCACTTTCTCCTTTACGAAGCGTAACACTGTCTTCGGTGGTATGGCCGTTTTCGATGGCGTCCGCCGAAGTATTGGGAGAGGGCATTATAGCTGCGCGCTTGAGTGTGGGCGTGGGGTCGGTGGGAAGTGCAGAAACACGTTGTTGAAGGGAACAAGGCTTGTCGCGTATGTAGCAGGAAGAGCAACGGCCACTGAGTATCCAAGGCGTTTGACGGTCACCGGGAATAGTCCGAGACCGCGTGCATTCGGGAAAGACAGGTTCACTTGGAGACCCTGGGTGGGCTGCTACTCTGCACTGGTCACAAGGAGTTCGACTTACTTGCCCATGGGTATACACCAAGGCTGCGAGAAAGTCTCGAGGCTGTGTACGGATGCTCCGAGTGCCAAAGAACTCCAAAGGACGCAATTGAGGCAGACGAGACAAAGCCAGGCCTGCTCGACGTTTTGCATATGACAGAAATTCATCTGCGAAAACCTTCTTGATGATTTCGGACCATTCATTCAGGTCCACCTCTTCAGCTGGATTCATGAACTCGCTGCCATCGACCTGTTTACTCTTAGTTCACAGTACTGTTGAAAGAAGCGAAGGGGTAACGCACCAACAGATATGAGCGTTTGTTCCTGCCCCTTGCTCGAGAAGTGGTGAGATTGATGATTTTCGTCAGGGTCGATTGGTAGTGGTCCGATTTAGGCCTCGCTAACGTTAGCGGTGTGGCCTCCAACGAGCTAGACATGATGATGATGAGGATGATGATGATGTCAACCTTGATGACTCCGACAAGTCAGGAAAATGTTGAAAGGGAATTGATCGAAGAGCAAAACGGACGGACGAGGAAGGAAACTGACGATCGAGGCGCAGGAGGAAGGATACTCGACGCAGTGCGCAGGGAGTTAGACCTACGTTGCTTCTGCAACCGCAGCCTGACAGAAGGGGAATGTTCCGCCGGGGGAATATTCGGCCGATAGGCCCTTCGTAAGTTACTCGAAGGTATATAGTCAGACAGGTCCCGGGACCCTGTAGAATTCACCATGTTCCTCCACTGAGTCACGGTGCTTGGCCGCAGGAAGCAGGACAGGCACAATCTCTTGACGCTGTGAGGGACCTCAGGAAGTTGTTGCGTGTTCTGCATCTTGAGCCTGCTGCTCTTTCTTGTCTCAAACCTTCATCCACCCACTGCTCCCTCGAGTGGCCTCATCGGGGCCACACAGCCTCTGGCTACCCTTTTCAAAGGGCCACCTTGGGTAAATTGCCCACCTACCGTTGAGCAGTATCCGCATTGACTGTATTGACTGCCCAACTGGTAGGGAAGTATACTCCTTCCACGCACCCTCCACATTGACTGCGACTTGGGACAGGATTGTCTCGCGTCTTCACACAGGTTAACAAGCTCCCGATTCCAGCACCTCGACCCCCTCGCTCCCACCCCAACTGGGCCTCCTTCTATACATCGTCCCAAGTGCCAAAAGTCGAGAAAGAGCTCGTTTCTACAAGCCTTGAGCTTCCCCTAAGCACACTTATCCAACCTGTCGCGCGAGCCATCCTCCCCTCCGCAACCAAACCGAGCCTTGCGTTCTTCAAAATACACAATGTGCAGATCTGGGGCTCTCCCACGTCGGATTCCGCGGTAATATTAATGTTACTCGGGGACATGCGGGGCCTGTAGAAAGAGATGTGCATCTAGTCCGAGGATGGCGACGGTTTGTCGAGTATACACTGGTTGGGCTTAGAGCACCGTCATGGTGACAGTCAATCTGCGTGAATGCAGCATTGTCCCAGGTGGGCAGGACTGTTACAGGAATATTGCAGGAATTCACGATTGCTGGAATGCAGAAATGCAAGATTGCTGCAGGACTTCAGGAATGCAGGACTGTTGCCAGGACTGTACTCGTAGAGCGCAGCAATTGCTTCAGGCATGAATGGTAGTTCGCAGTCGAACGGGTCTTCTGCTTTTTTCGAATTTCTTGTCAACGAACCGACCCTGGAATATCTCAAATCAGGCCCATGGCGCGTTCAATACATTGTCCGAGAATGTCCAACACGCTGTGAGACTCGACAGTCTTTCGTTGAGCACGAAAAGGCAGAAAGCGCCACTCACACCGTCCGATCTGCCTGCTTACCTACCTACCTGAAATACAATTTCGTGGAAGAAGATACCTGATTGAAGGAGACAGGAAACAGACACGAAGGGAAAGATAGATCTTCATTCATTCTGTAAAATGAGCGAGAAGGAAGAGGGGGAAGGAGGGAGGCTGGCAACAAGAATCTTGCATTTCTGCAACGGTCCTACATTCCTGGAGCATCCCTAAAGCATTCTTGTATTCCTGCGGTTCTGCATTCGTGGGAACAGTCTTGCATTCCAGAAACAGACTTGCAAGAATGTAACAACCTTGCATTCCTGCATTCCACCGCCACCAAACACACCACATACATATATACACATACATCGGGGTGTCAGGGGGTCAAGAGAAGGAATGGAATGTAGTATGCATTAGTCACATTAATTACATCACAATCAATCAACCAAGCAACATAAACATGAATATGATGAGCCCATACCATCCCCCTTCCCTTGGCGCACGACCCTAGCCTTTTGCCTTCTTTCTCCCTCTCCCTCTCTCCCTCTATTCTTCTCCTCTCACTTCATTCACTCCCTGCCGTCTCTCGTCTCGCCGTTTACAGGTAAGCCGACCTGACCTGAGCTGAGTTGAGCTGAGCTGACCTCTTCCTCCTCCTCCTCCTCCTCCTCCTCCTCCGCCTGAGCGAGAGCGTGAGCGAGAGCGTGAGCGTGCCCATGGGCTCCCGGCACCTCCAGCCGCCTCAAAAAACACCTTTCCATCTCTTTCTTTCATCCAACTGACCATATACCGTGTGGAAGTTGGGTATTCCACAGGCTGTTTCGATGTCGAGTATGATGAGGTCTGGGTTGCGCCCTTGGACAGTCCAGCTGCTCAGGGCTAGCCGGTCGTTGATAAATAGGCAGACCCTCACTCATGCTTCGTCGCAGACTCCAAAGATGAGCTTGAACATTCTAGTGAGGGGGTTGTGGACAGTGTACTGGTGTTCGTTCACCCATGGCTCAACAGAGATGATGATGTCCTGGTTGTAGACCCTTGGGCCTTGCATTCCTGCAGCATTCCTACAGTTCTAGTAACATTCCTGCATTCCTGTATCAGACCTGCCCCCCTACAACAATCCCACATTCCTGGACCAAACTCGCATCCCTGTGGTCCTGCATTCCTGGCAACAGTCTTGGAATAACTGTGTCTTCTCCGCGCGCGCAGCGAAGCTGTTTTCTGCGTAGGTTCTCGTGCATTATTTCTCTCTTCGTTTATCGCCGTTTCTTCCTCTGAGCGCTTGTGCTCATCGCGTGTTGCCTGGGATTGATTCCTGTGGCGCCGAGTTGCTCCCCTGCATTCTGCCCCTTTGTACTGCTGTATTCCCCTTCCTCATTTTCGGCTGAGGGTAGTGGGAGCCAAGTTTCTCTGGCTTGGTCCTAACTAGGGTCATCGCCTCTTCCGTGCGTGAGAAGGTGGTTATAGGGGATGAGGGGGGGAGGACTCGGTTTCCTTGGGGTTGGAAGGGCGTTGTCGCCTCCGATGACTCAATATCGATGATCATCGGGTGTGGTCCCGGGATCTGTCGGACAGTCTCTCTGAATCAGTCGATTATTGTTCTTGGGGTTTCGTTGCTCGGGATGGCTGGCAAGATAATGGGGGTTGTTGGTGTCCCGTCGGCACTGCTGCTCGGCATGCAGCCTTCTTGAATGCCTATGGTTCCGGGATCAGTCCGGAGGCTTCCCTCCTTCCACTATTTCTTGGTGAAGTGGGTAGCGTCGCTTATGGTGCTGGGAATGTCTGTCGTGGTTTGTTGCTGGCCGTTGAGTCAGTTGCTGAGATTGTTTTCTTGGGTGAGGCTGGGGTGCATACGTTGGCTGATGCTGGCATGTCGCCATTGGGTTAGTTGGCCTGTGTGGTAGGCACGGGCGTCGTGTTACCCTGCGCGTGTGCCGCCTCCTCTCCCTCTGGGCAACAATGTGATAGACGCGTGCGCTGCCTAACCTCTTTGCGGCAGCGGTGCGTTGGATTCCTCTGATCCTGCTTTCGCTATTGCATTCCTGTGACCATGCAGGATGCTCTTTGCTGCATTCGGCAGTACTTGGGGGTGAGGTCCTTTGAGTGTTTCCGGTGGGACTCGTTGGTGATGTATTGGCCGGCGCATAGTCCACAAGCTGGGCTTCTTGCGTCACAGTTGCGGGTGATGTGTCCACACCTGTCGCATTTGGTGCATTGAACAATTCGATATGTCTGATCGTACCGGACCGCGCTGTGGACTGTGTCGTGAACCTTGTCGTTGAGGATCGGTTTGTGCTTGATGAAGTTGGCTGTGATTGTCACCCGGGCTTCCCGGCCGACAACACCCCATGGGGCGAGTGGCCCCCACTAGGTGAATGGCCCCCATGGGGCGAAAAGGGCGAATAGCCCCCATGGGGCGAATGGCCCCCAATGCCAAGGCGGCCCCCACAAGGTATACACAGAAAGAGATAAATAGGACCTCTATTCTCGCACTGCTAGAGAGGCCCTCAACAGTGCGAGAAGTCGATATCTCAAGGACAGCTTTATCAAGAATCAAGATTCGTGTTCAACCCTCTGACTCTTCGTCTAACGATCCCACCCCAAAGCTCTCTGACAGTGATGGCCTTGTCGAAGCCGACCACAATAGATCCAGTGTTGCTCTTGCCAGGTGGGGTGAGCCATACAACTGAAGCGACTGAACCTCCGGCTTATTCAAGAGTTCCGTGTCCTGTTCCTTGATGGCGGTGTCGAAGTTTCCAGCAGAGTCTTCGCCAAAAGACTTCCCTACTGTTTCGACGCTCACCTCGTGTACAACGTTCTTGTAAACCTCCTCATTTGGCTTTGCCCCTCGATCAAACGGCAATAGCCAGGTCTTTTTGTATGAGCGCGAGGCTTTGATTCACTTTGGCGAACTGATGTTGATCTTGTCCTGGAGGTTGCCCTTCTTGAGGTCGCCGCTGGGCTATGAGTGTGGCGTAGTCTACGCCGATTGATAGGCCTGGGTCTGGAGAGTAGAATAATTCTAATTATACGTATAAAGAGCTATAAATGAGTGGCTGGGTCAAAAACCTGACCCCTGGGTGGCGTCGGTCGAGAGGTATTTCTTTATATGATTATAGATAACCGAGATCAGGAAATCGACAGGGTCGCCCTTCCGCCCAATCTCAGATGAATTGTCGGTGAAGGAACGTCTTGCACCGTGGTGAATCTCCATGGAGATGACTGTAAATGTCATCGTCATCCGACTCCGCCTTCAACGGCTCCGGTTGGTTTTGCTTGTTGGTCACCGAAGCATTCGGGCCGTCAGTCGAATCTCGGTCAAGGAGCTGATTGTCATAACCCAGTTTGCCGTCTCAGATTCCCATCCAGAGCCTCGCAATCTCTGCATAATCCTCATCTAATTCTTCCGCATCTCGCGCCATGAGCTCCTCGGATTCTGCAAGGAATTCCCCGATGTCTCCCACCAGGAGCTGATGAAGCGTAGACAGCATTCTGTCTCTCCGTTCTCGCTTCATTCTTTCATCGGCCTGTCCCTTCTGAAGGTATTTGATCTCGGTTGACTGTACCCTGCTGAAGGTCTGCGTTCTGCCGACTCCCAGATCATCGAAAGGTCGAACGCCATGATCTGTATTCAGGAACCTCCCCGTATTCGGGTCGCGTCTTTCCTCCAGTTTCGCCCGCCGAACCCCCTTGCAGATCGCATTGTTGGTAGAATAGTGGGCGACCGTCCTGCTATACCATGCCAGGATGTTGCTCATGACAGTACGGGAGAGCAGGTCCTCGGGCCAGGCAGCACCAGTATTGACAACCACTTCCATTCGGGTAACCCATTCGCTGACGAGCTCCTTACCAATCCCCTGCAGGTATAGATACCCACGGGGGTTGAAATATTTCGGAAGGAGCTCGTGACGTTTCTGTTTCTGTGTCGGATATTCTTTAATGAAAGCATATAGTTGGGCCTTAGTCACCACCTTTGATTGGTTAGGGTGGTCGAAGGGTAGCGTGGGGAAAACCTCGCTCAGGGGTCTTCGGACCTTCTTTCGACCCTTCAAGGCCATCCCCTTCTCAATCGGCGTCTTCGTGGATATCAGGCTTTTTGATCCCCTCGGAGCCAGGGCTTTTCCTCCACCCGGCATATTCATGCTTTTCGGGTATTGTCTTGCAAGTTTCCCATTTTCCTGCCCCTCGCCAGTCTGTGGTGTATCATCTTGCTCTCCCCGTGGACGCTCGTCGCCATCCCGGCGTCTCGTGCCGCGGAGCAGTTCTCGAATGTCGACAGCAGTTTCTCCGTCGCAGGTTTCCCGATTTCTCAGGAACATGTCTATTTGCTGAGCGGCCCATCGCCACCATGTTTCCGCCGGGTGTTTGTTTTCTGTAAGCATAAGTGCCGCCGCCAGAGCCGATTTGAAAAGGTTGACCTCCGCAGAATCTGCATCGGCAGCAGGAATATCGCGTCCCCGCAGCTTAAGAATCACCAGATCACCTTCCAGGAAGATCCCGAGATCTCGCCCCACGTCTTTCCCCTCCTGCTGCAGCTTCTGCGATATGTTTGAAACTTCCAAGGGGGGGCACTGATCATGAATTTCCTTGGCCGAACCGCTCAATTCGTTGGATAGCTCGCCACTCTTGTTCTTCTTGGTTGTCTGCTCTCCTCCCACACTAAGAAGTATGTCTCCCTTTCTTTTATTTTGCTTATTGCGTTCTGAGGCGGTCAGAGTTGTCTGGGGTCCGTCGCCAAATCCGCTACCAATTCTTACGGATATTTCGTTGCTTCGTGTTGGGGTTCCCGACTCGTCAACGCGAGGCGAGTCTTGTGCCATGAGGTGTCTTGTCTGACCAGGAGCTGAAATGGGTGGTAATACGTCGTATCTCTTTCTGCCCGCGGTTCCACCACGAAAATCCCATTCTTGTGTCATTCCTTCCTCCGACATATTTATATGATTTTCACAATTCCAGAAGGCTCTCGTGCCGGCCTCGCTGCCGCAGGATTGGGTAGGTAACAGTGTAGGTTGATGTCGGAGTGACTGCGCCACGCAGTGGAAATAATTTGTTCTTTATCAAAGCAATCGGTCCCTCAGTGCCTCATGACCAACTCAAAGTCCAACCGGTCAGCCACACGCAACTTCGAGTCCTTGGTATCCACGCCGGACTTTTGGAGGCCGAGGTCTCTCGCTGGCGGCCGATTCTGTGGTTCTGTAACGCTGTAGTACAAGGGATTGTGTTGAGGTCGTAAAATAACGATAATGATTGAAGATGTGTGTGCGACCAAAAGTCTCAGAATGGCCACGCCACGCGGTAGGGACTATCTGCCGAAGGTCTGGATACAATTGAATCTGTAGCTCCTATAGATAACGACTCGACGCTCAAGAAGTAAAAGCAGTGGTTCCCGCACGAGCTAGGTCGGGTGGTGTTCTTATAGCTTCTCTATCGTGCAGTCACGTGGCGTAAGCACTAGGCAATCGGCCCGACGCGCTCCGGGAGCCTTATTCTCTAAGCGTTGTCTCTCGAGGGCCTCATGTGCAAGACTTGTTTCTCCTGCCATAGTATCCCAGTTGAGTCAGCTTTGGTATCTGTGGGCATCGAGGGCATGTTCTTGATGAAAGGTGATTAAATTGATTGTTTTCTATGAAATCTCTGCGGCAAAAATGTGTTTGCTAAAAGGCGCCGAAGTGCCACTCGCCAAACCTGCTTAATGAAGGATTGGGGCGGATCACTCTGAAGATTCTTCCCCACTTAGCCGAGGATCAGCCGCACTGACGACTTTGTAAGGCCAACACTCCAAGGGTGGGTTCTAGGCGCCAACACATGACGAATTGGTTTCTTTTTGAGCAACGCGGGAAGACCCCCTTCATGAGGTGAGATCCGTTATCGGAGTAATCCATCCTCATGTGTCCAAAGATGGAGGGTACGGAATGCCACAAGAACCACCACGAATTAGCAGAGATTGCTGCCTGCACCAGCTGTGCGATGATATATCAGGGGAAGTAGTCCGACGCATGTGATGATTTAACGTGCGCCTGATTTCGCGATGGGCGTGAATGGTCCGATCCAATCAATAACGCCACAATCCATGGGTTGTAGGAAGAGAATTGGTGTCAGTCCCTGGGTTGGCCTTTGCGAGCCTAGGAACCGGCATTGCAGCAAGGCCCGCTGAACCTGAATATGTCTCGTGACCGCGTTGGCCACTAGACTACGCCCACGGCCCGAGATGAGGTGATTAGTTCGCTGCAGAGTCCACACGAATCATGAAGCTGGGACAACCACTGGGGTATTTCGCCCTCTTTCCGTTTTGTTCGATATAGGTAAGCTAATCAGGTCGTGGGGTCGCGTTTGTGAATGATCACAACACATCGTATCATCCTTTCAACGGAATCGTCCAAGGTGCCTGAAGGAGTAATCCTTCCAAATTTTAGGAATTCTATCACAGGACCAATCATTCGTCGTCTTCCAACTTCTCCCATCCAGGACCCGGATCTCGAGGCGAGACAGACGACGAGTCATCAGATTCAGAGTCAGAGGCCCGGTCCCGCTCTCGTGCCGTAGCTTCAGTCGTAGTACCTCGCCGGTGTCGGCGTGTTTCTGGATTCGCCGATATGACTTCCGAGTAACGCTCGGTCGGATCCTCTGCGCCTCGTCGCCCGGGACCAGATCCGAGATTTGAAATTCCTCGTCCTTCTCAAAAAGTGGCCGATATGCGTGATCCGGACTGACACCAGACAGGCCATCAGGGGCCACCAATGTATTTCCCGAGACATGCACAACGTCGAGCCAGAATGCGCCAAACTCCAGCTGCCATCTGGCGATGCGGCCGTGTCCGTCATCTGACTTCAAAACGCTCAAAAGCGAGGCATGGTCCGTGATGTCATAACGGGCTATATGCTGCCAACCACCAACCATCGACTTTCCAGCAGGGCCTTCAACAGGGCCAGCGCCGTCGCGCTTCGTCGTCGTATATCTGGTCTCCGCTGCTGTAAAAGCAAGCGGCATGAGCACCACGAAGTGAACGTCCTTCCAGTCCTTCTCCTTGACCGGTATTCCCGGCTTGAGCGTAAGTGCCTGAAACGAAACTGCTCCCCCCGGTATTTGAACCGTCTGCAGCCAGATGGTATTGAAGTTGCGGCTCACCTTTTCGAAAGTGAGATCCCGGTCACGGCCTTTCTGACTTTATCGAAAGCAGGTTGGTGTGGCTGCTCCTTAACGAAAGCCCACATTTCGAAAAACTCTCCTCTTCTCCCCATTCTGCTTGTACCCGCTTACCTCCTGGTCAATTGCTGGCTTCAGGATTCGATCCTAATTCGCCCTTCCGGAAATGAACTCCACAACGTATGGCAGTTGATACGAAAGGTATATAGTTACTTCTGCAAGAGTGTTGCATTCCTGCAGAAACCTTGTATCACTCTTGGAGGCTGCATGATCAATTTGTTGACCAATTCATCAAGACTCTCCTCAGCCTGGTCCGTGTAGTCGCCATTTGAGATATTTTCGAGCTGTTCCAGGACCTTCGGGGACCGAGCCGAATTCTTCAACGCCCCTACGGCCGCATCACCTGTCTTGATCCGGCGATTGAAGCAAACTTCGGGGGCTGGTCCCATACCGGTAGCTGATGTGTCGCACTTCTCGACCTTAACCTGTTCGTTAGTAACCGGGTCTCTGATCCAGGTCTCGTTTCTGCCGTAAACGCCAAGGACTTTCGAGGCAGACATTAATCTGCGAGAAAGCAGCAGTCTGTAGGACATTAATGGACCCCGAAGGACATAAGCCAGGAGGCTGCTGGGCAAGCCAGCGATATCGATGCGTATTCTCACATACTCAAGCACCAAGGTCACACGGCCGTCAAAACCGCGGACATCAAGGGATTTAGCCCGGACTACAGCCAAGTTTGCTTCACCAACCACCCATTGTGGGATCAAATTCACCATTGCCCCGCCACCGACGAGGGCTGGGTCCAGGCGCTGCTCTTTACCACCGTTAATGGAGATGATCACGGTTTTGTTGCAGAAGTTCTTCACAATACCAGACTGTTGACGTCGGTCCTCTTCATGCCCCTCTTCAACTTTGGAGACCGACATCGCCGCCACCTCGACTTGTTCTGTGTCGACCAATTTCTGTTGCTGATGTTGCCACAGGCTGTTTCTTTGCCGGTCTTTCAGGCTATCTATCATGCTCTGTGCCAATGCTGCTTCGATGGAGGGGTCCGACGACGGCAACCTGCAACGTACGTCTCGCGCTTTCTCCACGTTTTCATAGACCGACAAGGATCCTTATTTGAGATTTGTCATATCGCGCCATGCCCGTCTCTGATCCTGGTGATATGTCCAGCGAAGCATCATCGGGATTCGCAATGCTCAGTGGGCCAAGTGAGAGGTCAGCCATTGTGGCACGGGGGGAGGATTCAAACTCGTGGATGATGTGGCTTGGAGAGGAGGAACGATGTGCCCAATGACGTCTCTGTGGCGAGCGGCTTGATTAGAGAAGAGATTCTGGTGTTCTCATAGCTGCGGCACGGCAGGACGAGCAGTAGAAGCAGCAGCATCGGAGGTGTGGAATGTTGGGTCGAGCTGCGAGGGTGCAAGACACATATTGCGAGTAGTTTCCGACTGCGGATTGCGGGTCCCCTAGGCTCTGATCTGGCAGCGAGCTGTGTTTCCCGTTGTGGCGCTGACGTCGATGGCGCCGAGGGGCAGGGAGCTTCTTCTGGCGGGGAGCGAGCGTGGGCAGGGCGTATTGGAAGAATGATGGAAAAACAGCAGCGAGAAGTTGTTGAACAGTGGATGGTGAAAGGTGAGGGTGATGGCTGTTGGTGTGCGCAGCGCAGTTAGTTCCCGAGGCAGATGATTAGCCACCAATAAGCCAATGCTGCAATGCTGTTCCAACCCGAGCGAACCTCGGTGCCGGTTCTGCCTGTTCCTAATTGCAAATGACTGTGAGTATCGAGTACCTCCCACAAAAGCCCCAGATCACGACCAGCCCTGAGATGATACCATATATCAGCCAGTCAGGATTGCCGCAGATTGACGCCAGATTGCGGTGGAACTCATGTGACTACTACCGCCTCGAGATGTGGTATGTAAAGCGCTTCCTGGGGTTCCGACAGCAACTTCTCAACCTTGTACGCAAGAATCCCCCCAAACCATCCGCACCACACCCACAATTATCCATGGACCGGCCCTAATGAGGATGTGGATGGAGAACTAATCAATCCCAATCCCCCGCCCAGCCCAGCACGGCACGAGAGACAAGGAAGCACGTACTCACTTCACTCAGTCACTCACCCACTCCGTCAGTGCGACCGACCTGATCTGATCGATATATGTATAAATGTCGTGGAAGATACATAATATCACGCCGCAACATGGAACAGGAGGATTCACTGTTTTGGTGCAATTATATGAATTCTGAGACGGGAGGAGTATAACAACTAGTAGCAATAGCGACACGAAAGATAAATGGTGCGCGCAGCCTGATGCGCGGTAGCCCGTCGCGCTGGCCGTGATATAACCCCCTCAAAACCAGTGCTTCGTCCTCGAAGGTAATCGATAACATGCCAACAACTCCGCCATCCTGACATGCGAACCGAACCGTGCTAAATAGCCTGACCAATGTCGAAGATCCCTGAACGCACTCTCCTGCGTTTGATACTATCTCCTGCTGTCTGGGTAGGTCCAAATGTCACAGGAGAATCAGATCGGCTGGGTCGTTCCGGTGATGGGCCTATCTTTTCGTGTTGTCTTCGTTTTCCTTTGGGTGTTGAAGTCGTAGCATGCGGGAGGACCAGGTTTGTCTGGGTGTTTAGCGTGGAATTCTTGCACCGCCTCGTCGCATCCTGGTAACACATCCTCCCAGCAGCGCCATTCCTCGTCTGCATATCCTGTGAATCTTACCAAATACCGTAATTGTCGGGCTCTTCCAAAGAGCCTCGCGTCGCAGATATCCTCCACTTCCCACTCCTCCTCCATTGTGTCATCTCTTTCCACTATCACAGGAGGCGGCGGCGGCTTAATCTCTCCAGGGAATTGTGCTTCTCTGGCCGCCGGAGGATGTAGGAGAGGGGACGAGCGCGAAGCATGGGGCATCGAAGACCGTCCGTCCCGGAGAAGTGGGTTCGCCGTGATCGTAGATCGTTGTTGGCGTATGATTGCTTCTTGTGTCTGATCTTCAAATGAACGCCGGGGTTCCACTTTGATATGCGTTTCTGACCGTCCTGTAGTGTAGTGTGACTGCTCATTCGACAGGTTAGAAGGGCCGGGCTCCGGCTCTTCCGCAGAGCGAGCGTCAACGATCTGGAGTTCATCATCTCCGTCGCCACCGTAGCGCGGGGGACGCCACCAACTCGGCACAGTTATCCCGAGGCCGCGTAGATTCTCAGACATGTTGACTGGTTGATGACGGGTGGATGGTCACGTTGTTGGGAGACCTATTCCGAAGAGAAAGCGAAGTGATGAGCTGTGAAGTGGTGAAAGTGGAGTGGTAAACTGATCATGCGCAGTCTGCGATGCGCAGTCTGTGTGGAGTGGTAACCGGGGGTTCGAGGACACGTTCAAAGAAGCGCGCGAAGAGGAGGAGAAGGGGAGGGAGGCTGGCTGGTTAGGCTGGCGCCTCCGTCAGGAGGAGGAGGATGTGTGCATGTTGGGATATTCGGACGTTCAGCACCTGCTGCATCGGAAATTGTGAATGGGAAAAAAAATCAGACTTCGCACAGACTGGCTCTAATTGTAAGTCTGCTGCTCCACCTGAGTATTTCGCAGATCCAGGATCTGTGAAAAAGTCTGATTGCTAAGAGCGCTTCCTACCGGCTTACTCCACCCTAGTAATTATTTCACCCATCCGGATTTCCACCCCAAATAGATTTTCCGGGAGCGCAGGGACCTCGTCGCCGCCACTCCTCTTCGGACAGTAGAAGAGTATTATTCCTTGGTGTTTGGTGTTGATCTCTCATTTGCGCGCCTGCCTACCAACACGCCGTGCCATTTACACGCACACACGCACCCATACACCCTGACCTGACCTGACCTGACCCGACCTAACCTCTCCTCCTCCTCCTCCTCCTCCCCCGACCCCGACAGGACAGCACCTAACAGATCTGGCGGGTGTGGGCGGCGTGGACATCTTCGTCCGTATATCGACCGACTCTACTATATCGTCTCATCACTATCACCATGGACCACGAGTCCGCGTCTATCGTGCATCTATCTATTTATCTACCTATCCATCAGAGCAACGTCAACCTGAACATGAATATAAACATACAGAACACACATGCACACACACAATTTTACGTGGACGGGGCCGGTCGCAATGGGAATAGGAAGGGGGATCAATTCCATGCCCTCACGTCCTCCCTCCGGCTACGCACTCTTCGGCTCCGTCTGCGCACTCTTCGACTCCATCTACGCGCCCTTCGACTTTATCTACGCGCTCTACGCCTGGTTCGTTCGTCCCGTGTGGCGGGAAGAGAAGAGCAAGGCATACGGATGGAATGAATGGGATAGATAGGCAACAACAACAATACCGTTGTTTATATATTTGTTTCTTTCCTCGTATTCATCATCATCTTCTTCTTCCCCATGTCCAGCAGAGTACGTGCGACGAGGCCATGAGGGTATGAGAAAGGACGTCAAGAGCCCACGTGCATGCATTAGGGCGTGGCTGTGGACGTGGAGGTGGACCTTCCTTCGCCTGGATATACACACACACACATAAGATTATACGTGGAGACAGTCCCAATAGGAGAATCAATCAATTCCACTCCCACGTTCGCGCTGTCTGTCCACCGTCCTCCCCGCGCCGCGCACTTCCGGCTCGTCGTCGTTCGTCCCGTGTGGCGGGGCGGCAAGGGACGGGGTAGGCAAGAACAAGGGAGAGGGGCATGAATAGATGGGCTACAACAACATACACAGCATTATATGTTTGTTTCTTTCTTTGCTCTTCTTCTTCTTCTGCTTCTTCTTCTTGCACACATCCCTCAACCACCATGAGTCCATCATGAGCGGCAGAATCTTCCTTTGCGCAGTTGAGGAGAAGGTCGCAATTTGAGAAGACATTAGTCCAGAGGAGGTGGTGTTGTTATAGATGTCGATGCGGCGGCGCGCTCCCAACGAACGGCCAGCCAAGTCCCAGTCCCAGTCTCAGAACCAGGGCCAACGCCGCCCGCATCGAGACCGCGTCCGTTGTGCAGGCAGCCCATCCCATTCCGAGACCCAAGCTGATCTCGGTACACAATCCGCTTTCAAGCCGGGACAGCGTGCTTGTCAACGTCAGGAAGGTGTCGTCGTGGCGGCCGTGGCTGTAGACGGCCGACAACAGCGCGAGCATCAGGTCGCCAGCGGCAGCGATCGAGCCCGACGAGGTCGACATCATGAGAGAACAAGATGAACGGCTCGCGGAGTTCATAAACATCACTGAAGGTCTGACTGGTGGCGGTTGCAAAGTGGCTTTGTATTGTTCGAAAGCATGTCACGCCAAAGACTGGAAGTCAGGAAGACATATGCTTGCCTTTCAGCATTCGACATCAAGTCAGTTTTACCGACCATTATCATTAGCCATGAGTTCTCCCAAGTGTTTCCAACAGACCAAATTCCTTCCGTTCTCAACGCAGAAGCAGCAGCAGCGCACCCGGGGAAAGTAGTTGGAACTGGAGGTGTGTGCTATGTGCTGTTTGCTCCCCGGGCCTCACAACTCATTCATTCATTGATATGCGACCGGATGTGTGAGAATGCGGACACACCACATAACATCACACTAGTATATAAGCATCAGCATCATCCACATGTTATGTGTTGTGTTATAGTGTGTGGTTGCCATTTTCCCTTGATTTTTTTCCTTTGGTTGACGTGCCCTTGTGCAACAACATCGGCCACAGCACATGTGCCACACCAAATCCGTGCATACATGCGCAGCACAGCCCATAACCATCACCAATCATCATGACAGCAGAAATCAATTACGAGGGAAGGGAAAGGGAAGGCGATACGTGGAAGGGGTAGAGTGGTTGAAATACGTTGGCGACAGATAGGATAGGAGATTCATGAGTATAGAATGGTATGGAAATGTGGCTGGCATGGCAGTTCAGGGCATCGGGGGCGAGATGGATGGCATGGATGAAAGTCCTTGATGGTTGTGGCGTGGGAGAGACAGTGTGATTTATCCTCATCATCATCCATCACTCACAAGCACTTTACAATCCTGTTCCAGTTCCTTTTCCTGCTCAAATTCATTTCCGCTTGTGCGAACACAACTGCCAACTAACTGCCAATTTCAATTTCCTGCTTCTTTTCCCCTCTTTATCCATCTATTTATCTATGTTCCCCCTGTACATGAGCCGCAACACACGCAACTTGAACAGAACGCCCAGACCAGACTTCAGACTTGACTTGACTTGATTGACTTGATTGATTTGCCTGCCTTGCCTGCGCTGAACTCAGCTCACACCCTGCATCCTGCTTGCTTCCTACCCACCCACGGCGGACTGACTGGATTCAAACTCGGCCACGCTGGTGCGCTGTATCATGCTGGGAAAGTCCTATGCCTCCAGTGGCTCTCCGTACCTCGCGTCGATCCATGGCGCCCCTGTAAGGTCCTTGCCGAGCAATAAGAAGTGTCGACAAATGGACCATGAACTGTCTATCACCGGGACTGCCCTTTGCGTAGAATTCCTGTCCACGGAAGATCTGCTCTCGCGCGTGATCCTCTTTTGTCATCTTGTAGGACTGAACAGAACTCTGGGCGGCAGCCGACCTTCAAGATGGACAAAACAGGTGGCTTCCAGGAGCCCGGCTACCTCGACTTCGTGCGCCCATATGTATATCTGGTGGACTCGAGCTGCGAAAGCCGTCGGGAAGGGGGTGTTGATGCATAGGAGTGTGAGGTGGAAGGTCTGATGCCAGCAGTTTGGAGGCTGTATGAATGAGCGGGTGGTTGAGTCTCCGGCGGACATTCGTTTACTGCAGGTCACTGGTTAAAAAATAAATAGTAAACCGTTTTACTGGGAATCGAACCATGCCACTCCTAATTTATGTGAGCCAGGAGCAAAAAAATTCAAGTCCCACCGCGGTCCGATGTCACCTCTCCCCTCCTCTCGATGATATGGCGAGACCGCCCACCCCATGATGAGGTGGGCGCAACAAGTGAACACCAGTAATCTCCTTAGGCAACAGCAAGCCATACCATCGATAGGAGGAGGGGGAGGCCCCTCCCACCAACCCGATAGAACATGAACTCTTGTCCCAAATCTCAACTTCGAAGTGTAGCTTCGGGGTCTCGAACTGTTGCACTTGCTTTCGAATTGAGAAATGTTGAAACAAATTCCGGAGTTGCAAAATATATTTATCACGGCCAGCGGTGGGCTACTCCGCACGAGGCTGCCTACCCCACAGGAGGCCAGGCGCATTTTTTATCTATCATGCCGTTGCCGCCACAACGAGTTAAATTCCTTCGTCTTAAAATTTCATACCATAGACTGCACACTAGCACAAACTGCACCGTGACAGTGATTTCTCCTGCTACAGGTTGCGCCGTGATACCCATTCGAGCGCCCAAGTCATTCGTTCAATTTATCCATTCTTCTTCTCTTCTCTTCCCTTCCCGCTGACTGTGCACCAGAACAGAACAGAATAGATGTCGAGCTGCCTCCCCGCCCGTCGTCACCATCATCATATATGTCTTCCCCCGACACGCAATCTGGCAGGACGAGAGAGACTGCTGCTGCCGACGTCGTGCCGCCGACGGTCGATCAGATGCGATCCGTTCCCAGCCAACAGACTGCGGACGGACGGATGCGATACCTCCTACCGAGCGAGCGAGCAGAAAGAGACAGACAAACAGACAAACTGCCGATGGATGGATGGCTGGATGCTCTCCCTCCTCCCACCGGGCGAGCAGAACGAGACTGCACTGCGGCCGCCGTACCCGTGCCTGCCCTCCCTTCACCTCCCTCCGCCCAACCGACTATCCGATCACCGTCCATGCAACACGCCCCCATCGAACCCTCGTACAGCATCAGGGTGAGCAATATTACTACAAGTCACATTTCTAGCCCTCCATCCTATATCATCGGGAATAAGAGGAGCCCGGCTAATTCTCAGCAATGTCCTCATCATGGCTCACATAATCCCTCCACCGTGTGTTCCCACTGGTATCTCTGTTTCTTCTGGGTAGAATCGCCCGTACCTCTGTTTGTTCCTGGGTGGAATTGGTGGTCTCCGTCGACTGATGCTCAGGTTGTGATCTTGAACGACTCGCTTGTCAGCTGGTTGCATGGCAGGCGCCTCTGAATTTCTAATCGACGCCATGACCCTCTCGCGCAAACTCTCTTCCCTCCATATCTCCTCCAATACTTCTGGTGAACTCCGGATCCTGTCCATCAGTGGCCGCATATAACTCTCTTCGATGTCATCCATCCCTCTCATCCATCTGTTGTAGTCGTGAAGTAGTGTCATCAGCAGGTCGTAGAGACCATTGATTGCTCCCTGCACATCAATATCAATGTTTTGTGTACCCAGTAGCTGCAGAAAGGCGCGGTAAACGCAGGAATTAAAGAGGTGGACAAGATCTTCCAATGTTGTTTTCTCCGTCCGGCAAGGTGAGGTGGTGTACCTGCATCACGATCAGCATCTCTACTCGTGCCCAAAGCGAGCTCCATACATTGTGATGAGGAAGCATCGTTGTCGATATATACACCACAGATATTGCTCCGAAGGGTTAACGGTAAATAGACCCCGCGTCTTGACAAAGTCGACGTTGTTGATCTGTTCGGCGACATTGAGGGCAGATTGCCGTAGTTGATCGGACATCCACCGAACATTAGCGAGTATCTGCTGTTTGTTGCAGGAAATGTCACTCCCCAGGTCTTCAGCGTTTGGAGGCACCAAAAACGACCCGAGCGTAGCCATAGCCTGCGCCAAACCCTCAAATGCCTCCTTACACGTCACCGGAAGATGAGCACGGGCGAGGTCTTCGAGGAAGCCGTTCAGGGTTGAAAACTCCACTGCTTTGGCGGAGCGAAGGCTGGGTCGAAGCGGAGTGGTGTGGGCGGTTGAGGTCGACGTGTTCGAAATGGTGGTGTCATCGTGGTCTGTAACGTTTGAGCACGGTGACGAGAAGTTCTCACTGAGCCCCGAGCTGGAGAGGATGTCTTCGGTCGTGTCGAAATTGATCTCCGGATACCGTTCAAACAGAGCAGAGAGATCGGTCTCTGGAACTTCAGGAGGATTCGCCATCGGTGAGTTACAGATGATCAAAAAAAAGGATCCTGCAGTTGCAGCTGAGAAGAGAAAACCTCAAAACTCTCCTTCACCGGTCGGACGAAGGCGTCACTCCCGGCGAACATTCACACACCATGTCCGTAGTGAACGCGACGTGGACTCAAGAAGAAAGAAGACAAGCTACGCTGACCGTGCGTATCGCAGTTGCAGTCACCGCATTTGGCACAATGTGGCTAACCCGCACAAGGCTGGGTACCCCACACGAGGTTGTGTGCACCTTTAATCTTCCGTGCCGCTGCCGCCGCCACAAGTTAGATTCCTTCGTCTTGGGTTTCACATTATACTTGCTTCATGACAGTAATTCCTCCTGTTTCAGCGGGGGGGGGGCCGTGATAGTGTGTATGGTAGCATTGAAAGCTGACGTCCTGCAACGCTCGAGCACATGGTCAGAATAGTCTCGAATTACGCGGGCGGCACACTACCGCTGAACACCCGAGGTCTGGAGCACAGACTTTCAACTAGCCTTCCTCAACGGTTTAGCGTGGCAAACAGCGCGGGCGGGAAGAGAACTCGCCCAATGCCATGGGCGCAGGGAGCTTTGAAGCCGTCAAGAGTGGCAGAAGAGTCATGGTGTTGGCCCAAGAGGGTTTGGATACGATGACGCAGGCAAGTCGGGCCGTCATCGTTTTGGTTATCCTCGAATCGACATGTCTTTGGCACATCCATTTCTTGTGGTGTTACGGCGGCGGTCCTCCTTAACAGGTTCACCACCTGCCGTCGAACTACGGAGATCTCGTAGTGTGAAGGCGGCAATCCTCAACGATATCGACCCCTTGCGTTGAACTTTATAGCCACGGGTCGTCCATGAGGGAAACCCCCGACCTTGCCAGCTCGATGGGATCTGTTGACTCTCTGGCGTCACCATGGACATGTTATTCTCTCGTTTCTTGGACCAACCCGGGAGTTCAAAGCATGGTAGCCATCGAATCTTTCAACATGTCCATGGACACCTGAACAGGATGTTCTCCGCCATTCCATATAATACCTGTCATCGGCAGTAAGGGGTCAGGTGCCCACATACCTTTCTTCATGGAACACGTTACTCTGGGTGATCTTTGCCCCTTTCTCGAGAGACAAATGAGATCAAGGACTGCGAGGACTATTGCGAAGTCAGGGGTCCATCACCCTGCGCCTTCAATCACATACACGCGGCTATATCGTCGACTGAGAGCCCATCCAACGCAGGCTTATTTATTTACTTGCTTACATGCTATGTGGCGCCACACACACTCATACACACACACACACAAAAGTCCGAGAACAATAACGAACAGTCTGTGTGCACAAAACAAACAAACGAACAATCGGTGATGACCCAAATGCAGATGCAGATGCAGAAGAAAGAAAGTGCCTTACCTTGGTCTTTAGCCTTTGGTCACCCCAGATCCAGATCCATCCATCCCCATCCTCGTCCTCTGCTCGGCTCGGCTGTGGAGGAAGGCACGTATGTATCTCGCTGCTCTGCTGGGTTGCGTTGGCTGTGTTGGTTGGATAGATGGATGGATGGATAGGGGCCCAGACCAGAAATAGGTAAGCAGGCGAGCAAGCGGGCAGGGCTCTATTGCCGGAACATTGGGACTTTTTATGCACGATGTGCTCGACTTTTTCCGATGCCCAACTGCAGCTCTCGACTTCATGCAGGTACCAAGGCACCTTTTTGCCTCTTTATCCATCAGCTCTCCAGATCTCTCCTCTTCTGTTCGCCCGAAGGCTTGCAGCCAGCGTTTCAGATTCGAGGCGATACAGCAATGCCATGTGCGGCGCGAACCCTTTTCCCAGTCGAAGTGCGGAGAACAGTTGTTTTTGGATTCGAGTCTCGACATCCAAAACGCACTTTGCTCTACCAGAGACCACAGTGGGTTTTGAAATCTCCTCCTGAGATGACGATACACATCAGTATGAATGTTAGCACGTCATCGATCGAAGGGGGCGGTGGATCCGCTCGCCGCTTGTCGACGTACTTCAGGTCGCTGATAGAAGATTGGTGAGAATATCGATAATGACGGTGCCTTTGCAGAGGTGCCGCCGGATGCTCAGCTGTACACTAACCCGTACACAAGACTTCATCAGTCAATCTGGTCTGGATCCTCCTTTCCAAATGATGCTGTACTGTACATAGGTGGCACTCATTAACTCTGTCAACACAGGTTCGTTTCGCTTGTTGAATCTTGTCGGATACCCTTGGAGACCTTAGACTAACTCAGTCGATGTATCGATCGTTTGATACTGACACTGATACTCACTGACGCAGTGGATAGAAACAGATTCGATTCGCACAAAGCTGCACTAGTTGTAGACTTACTTCACCCTGATTCTTGCGCAGATTCCCTCCCCAGAAATCCTCCCAAATCTAGTGGGAAATTCAGTGCGCTCACGTTCGGTTTGCGCTGCCCTAGGGATTTCCCAGATCCCAAGTTCTCAATCTGTATAGACTTTCCGGGAGCGCAGTCACCCCGTCACCGCCGAGTGCCGCCTCTTCGGAGTGGAGAGTAGAGTAGAGCATTATTCCTTTCGTTGGCGTTTGTGTGGTGTTGTCATGTATCTCGTTTTCGTTCCGCGTCTGCCTGCCTGTCTGCCCGGGCCGGACCTCGCCTCACTGGTCGTTTGTATGCACGCGCGCACGCACGCCGACCCGACCTGACCTGACCTGACCTGCTCCTCCCCACCTTCTCCTCATCCTCCTGACCAAACTTGACCGTGACCGTAGGCATGGGCGGCCGGCCTGCCGCCTCCAGCAACCAGCAACCAGCAACCAGCAAGCAAGCTTATGTCGCTCGCTCGCTCGCGCACTCACGTACAGACGCACGCGGCCTGACCTCACCTGACCTCCTCCTCCTCCTCCTTCTTTTCGCCTTCTTCATCAACGAGCACGCCCCGTCCCTTCCGACTCGCCAACGAGACCACGAAGCCATGAAGCCATGATGAAGCCATGATGAGGTCACGAAGACATCAGCCACGTGTCCACATACACATACCCGGGCGTGGAAGGACAGCGTGTAACAAATGAACAATCGGTAACGCTGATGCAGAAGGAAGAAATACCCTTGGTCTTTGGTGCCCCAGATCACATCAGATCAGATCCATCCACCATCCACATCCTCAGCTCGGCCGGGCTAGGGGGGGGGATGGATCTGTTATGTTAGGTATGTTAGGTTGAATGGATCGATAGGAGGGTGCCCGACCACAACCAGAAGCTGCGCTGCGCAGCGGGCGGCCCAGCACGAGAAGGACGTAAGTAGTACTCACTCTAACCAACCTGCCTGTCCATCTGCTTACCTGCTCTATAATTCGTGTATGAAGATGCTTGATTGGCTGATTGAGCCAGGAGACAACACGGAGGGGAACATAGATTCCTATGCAGCAAGAGGAGCGGAGCGCAAAAAACAGGGAGACTAGCTGACTGGCTACACAGGAGGGGACGGCAGGGGCAAGAGCAGGCTCGGGCACAGAAGATGATAAATGACTACACCACGAACAACACGAGATCTTTGGATATGACGAGCTGGTGAAACGTTTCCACGACAAGGATCCGCGCAGACCAGGGCCCCCGAAGTCCACTTCGATCTCAATCAGAGATTCCGTGGGAGAGAGATGGCCTGCCTCACGGAGGAAGAGAAAACCAAGAGAACCTTCCGTTGATGGATGGCGACTGAGACGCTGGGAATCGCTGCATGACGAAGAATCGGGAAGGAAAGCATCACTCACCCTACCAGCCTGGCAGAGGTCCCAACACAGAGTTACAACGATCCCTGGCAGAGGAAATAGTTCAATTCAAGGTTGAATGAGTTACCCTGCCTCCAAGGGCGATAGCAATTGTGAATGGAACTTTCGATTCGCCAGGACCTGAAGGGACAAAAGAGACAGGCCAAAGCTTGCACCGCGCTCTCTACCTTCGTCACATTGGTCACAGGGCGGCTTTGTTAACTGCACAAAGACCCGAAATAGACTCAGGCTTGATGACAGAGCGGCGTTGTGGATTGCAATGTCTGTCTCTTTGTTACTTTGACTGCTTAGTTACATCAATGCGCGCGCCTGTGAGAGACAAACATACACACACAGAGAGAGACATTATGTTTGTGTGTGTGTGATTTCATTTCCTGGTCACTACTACTATGGCTACTAAACCAGGCTTGACTCGATGCGGTTCGGTGATGTCCGAATGAGCTCAACGAGGGTGGGAAAATGATTCCGTGACCTGAAGGGATAGCCTCCATATGCTTTGGCCATTGCCGGTGCGACCTTCTCGCCGCCGTCATCTGCCTGGATCTGCCATGTCCCGGCAGATTAATGATTGGGGTCGATAGAGGCTTGTCTTCGACGGCAGCAACGGCTTCTCTGGGCCCCTTCACGTTGCCAAGGGTCTGCACGATTTGTCCTCCAGCGAAGGTGAGAAATGGAACAGCCTCTGGCGAGTGAAATGCTCAGAGATGGCGTAGTATATCCTCCAGGGGCTTACAGGCAACCCAACGCTGCTGGCCATCCTTCTTACAGGTGGACCTTCTGAGTGAGAGACGGCCAGGGGAAGAGAGATTTCAATGGTGCCTCGTCTTCTTCCCCAACCATCTAACTTATTCGTCGGCGGAGATGGTAATCTAAGGTGAGCATAAAATCATTGCCAGCACAGTGAGGAATGGGCAAAAAGAGTATTACGTCCCTCGATTCTGTGGATCGAGATCCAACAGACGTTCGAAGAACTGAGTCTCAGTTTTTAGAGAAGATGAGCTGCCTATGTTCGTGACCGAAAGAATCTGTCAGAACGGTAGGGTCACGATATCGTGATAGATAGGCTTACCTTCGTGCCGCAGCGAAGGAGTAGAAGTGTTTATATATATTTGTTATGAGCGAGAATAGAACAGAGAGGAAGCATTGAGATGAGATGGAGAGAAACGTATATAGCCGGTCAGCGAGGAAAGGACGCTCATCTGTTGCCAAGTGATAACGGTGATATAAGGAATAATAGGGAAAAGACGTCCGTCACGCCACCGCTACTACCAACTCGCTGTTTATCACCAATTTCGTCACCGCGACGTCGAATCTTTGTTCAACAGTCTCAATATGTCCGTTCAGCGATATCCGGTTCGTCCGTGGTAACTTTCCCTCAAAACCGCCGGTGTACTGAGTTGTGGCACTCCGACACTAACCGATTCACAGGCCTCTCAAATCGCCCCTGGTCACTCCGTCTACAACCTTCTCCTTCACTCCGATCAATCCTTGGCCCTTGAAGGCCCGGCTGGCGTTAGACAGAAGGGACAGAAGAGGTGGAAATGTGGCATCACAGACCCAAGTCAAAGTCGCAGTCACGGTCGGCGTGGGAAGGCCCAGTGGGTAGTCAATCCTGGCGGTCAATCTGCTGCAGGTCTCTGTGGTTACCAGCAAAACATACCTATTGGGCTACAATACTTATATACTTTGTGGACGGCGGTGATGATGTTCCTGGCACCTAGCAGGCAATCCCCAGCATCACCTCCAACATCACCTTCAAGGCCACCTCCAGGACGACCCGCAGGCGCATTGAGCCCCGGTGAAGACCCTCCTCACTTTGCTGGGGCCTTGAAGCGTCCCCAGTGGATTCACGCCTCACAGTCTATTTTAATATCAGGCGGCGAGGGAGCTCAGCCGATTGTGTTCGCTAATCCGTCAGTAGGAAAGACTGAAGAATAACAGGAAATATGGGGGCAAAGACTTTCGCGTAGGAAGGGAAGGGGAAGTGCGGTGGAAGATTGCGGTCCTGCGGCGCCTTTTGAGCCACAGAGTCTACCACACAGTTTGGAATACAGATTTCACAGATTATCAATTATTTCCCTTGTCTTCGCGCAAAAATCGGAGCTGAGCGGAGCTGAGCTGTTTTCTGTCTCTCAGTCTGGCTTGTTGGTCACGTCAATGCGCGCGCCTGTGACAGAGAGAGAGAGAGAGACAGAGATTTTCATTTCCTGGCCACTACTGCTATGGCTACAATAGCTACCATAATGGCGACCACGATAGCTGCCTTCTTGCAGAGTGAACAAGACTCGACTCAGCACAGCACGTTTAGTTCATCAGCGAGGCCCTTATCGCGAGCTTCTCTCATTGCTTCTCTCAGTCTCGACTCACCTATCAAATCGAATAACCGTACGGAGGCATCCCCCCAACTCGCCAAAGGCCAATTCTCCCTCCATAACTGCTGGATCATCTGCGGTGTAATAGAAGCATTCACTTCTCCCCGGATTTCTGTGTCGCCGTAGATACCTTCGGAGATTGTCAAGAAAGGAAGGTTTCTTGATGGCATCTCGCCGAACGCGAAAGTCTCATGAAAGGTCGACTGTGGAACACCAGCAGCATCCCGTTCCCACAACTCCCATGAGATCCTCGTCTCTCCGATCACCTTAGCGTTGCCGAACCAGATCACACCTGTTGCCCGATCTCTCCGAAACTCCTGGGCGATATCGATATCGATTGATTCCGGACATTGAAATTTCGGAGTTTCGGCCAATTTGATGAGAATAACTCGTTGAGTTTCTGGGTTTCCTTTCATGTGCAGCGGTATCAGAGCCCGGAGCTCTTCGAGAGACTGTGAAACACCAATCTCGACGACGGTGTGAACTCTCTCGTAGAAAAGACTCTCATCCCAACTGATACTAAAGTCTGGTTGCCTTAGTGAATCCTCGTATTCTCCCGTAAACCTGTGGGAAATAACTGGATACCACCGGATAGGCGTCTTATCCACGAGAGTCACATGCGCGACATCGGCAAGCAATCTAACAATAGCGTGGTGTCTCTCGCTTGCAGGGCCTGTGATAGTGACAAGGGAGCGTGAGCTATCGAATGAGGCTCGAAATGCTTTGCTGAAATATACATTAGCGCGCCGTCAGAAGAATCAACGGAGGTAATACGCACTATTCTATGCACCTGTCAAAGTTAGGGTCTTCTCGCAGTTCCAACCACGACTCTCGAGAAATGGTGAAATGAATTGTTTCGTCGTCTGTTGGAAAGATTTTCTGTGTTGCGACGTCTTCGGCGTGTTTCAGCACTTCCTGCAATTGATCAGAGTGGGTGGGTAGTTGAAGATTCGACTGTTGTAGTGATGATGGCTGCAGCGCGCAGGCTGTGCCGCTATGCTCCAGCACGTCACCTGAATCTGAGTCCATCCTTTGTTTGGAGTTGCACGATCTCTTCTGAAGACTTGGTCGATGATAGATAAGAGAGCGATGACGGAATAAGACGAACGATTTTGTTTGTTGTTTGGGTTTTATATGCGGTGAACTTGGAATCCGGTTGAGTATTTGCACTTTCATGTATAACAACGGTGGAGCAGGGATGCCTCAGTGTATGGTCTACCAGCAGCCTTCGTGGCTGTTGTAAGTAGATGCACCAGGGCTGCTTTGTCGACTGCACATACAGCACTTGTGACATAGAGCCTTGATGTGGGATCGTTAGACGAGTAGAATGCGGGTTGAACGCGTATCTCTGACGTAGATAAAGCTGTCCTTGGGACATCGACTACTCGCACTATCGATGAGGAAAGGAGCTCTCGCTCCAGTGCGAGCACGAGTGTCTTACTTATACCTTCATGGGCCATTCCAGTCCTTCCCTGGTAACACCCCTTTCTAGTATGCCAGAGTTGTTATGCCTGTGCTAGTATGTCTGTGCGCATACTAACGCGTTCTACATGCCTTGGAATCTCATACCGTCGCGTTTTGTCAGTGCGCTGGTCCGTGGGTGGTCACGGACCCTTGGCACCAGGTGCGCGGTGAGATAGGCAGTAGTTAAATGAGATGAAATGTGAAAAGATCAGAAGAGAAGAGAAGAGGGAAAATAGACACGGAGGAAGAGGAAGGGGGGAGAGCGGGGGAGAAAGGAAAGGAAAGGGCCACGCGCCGAGGGAGGGGGTAGGATGGACTCATTCATATTTATATTGATTGATAGATGAGATGCCATATTTTTTCCGCTCCCCTGACCTGACCTGAAGACGCCGCTAATACCCTGACACCCCGGTATATGTGCATACGTATATGGTGGCGGCGGTTGGTTAGTTAGTTAATTGGTTTGTTATTTGCCTGGCCAGTTGAAGTGGACATATGGCCATATGGCTGCCCATCCTCTTGGTTTGAGCGGGCCACTTCTCTTCCTCTGTCTGGGAAAAGCAAGCCATCTCACGCGCGCCAGCTGCTAACTGAGTGGGCCTGAGCCTCCTGCCCCCTCATGTTGGTTGGAAAGGGAGGACGCGCGGCAAGAAAGAACGCGTCGATGTCTGCGTCTGCGTGTTTGTGGAAGCGACCGAGCAAGCGAGCGCCGCAAGGTGCAGGTGCTGAATGTACATGAACGTCCTAACATCCCCATTCTTCTCCTCCTGCTGCTGGGTAGCCAGCCAGCCAGCCACCCGAGCCGAGCATAGAGGGATGGATGTGGGGGATCTGGGAGACTAAAGACTAAGGCTCTTTCTTTCTTCTGCATCCGCGTCACCCATTGTTTGTACGTTGCACGTTGTCGTTCTCGGGAGTTGGTAGGTGTCCTGGCGAGGCGAAGGAAGGCCCACGTTCCCACGTCCACGTCCACGTCTATGGCCCCTTGTATATGTGTGTGTGCGTGGAATGGATTCCCTCCCTATTGATTCCCCATTGGGGACCGATCCACGTGTAATTGTGTGTGTGTGTGTGTGGTTGGTTGGTTCAAGTTCACATTTATGTTCACGTTGACGTTGTTCAGATAGACAGACAGACGCACGACGTACATGGCCCGTGGTCTATGGTGATAATGGTGATGCAGTCGGGCGACGGACGACGGACGACGGACGACGGACGACAGATGATAATGTGCACGCCATACAAGACCTGTCCGGTCCTGTCCTGTCCCGTTTTGTTCTGTCCAGGTCGTAGAGCGTGCGTGCGTGCACGAGCAATTGACACAAGCTGACATACTTGCTTGTTGGCTCTGGATCTGGAGGTGTCCCGGCCACCCGCCCATGCTAATAGTCATGGCCACGTCCTGGCAGGAGGAGACGGAGGAGGTCCGGTCAGGAAAGATGAGGTAAGGTCGAGCGGGTTTGTGGAAACGGCAGGCAGGCAGGCAGGCGCGGAAGGAGATAGAACTTAACACCAAACAGCAAGCAAAAATACTCTGCTCGACCCTCTGAAGAGGCCGGGTGGCGACAATGAGGTCCCTGCGCTCCCGGAAAATCCATACAGATCGAGAATTTGGGATCGGGGAAATCACTAGGGTGGCGCATTGGCAACCGAGCGCACTTATTATTCCACACCAGATTTCGCAAGATCCAGGATCTGGGATAGAATTCGGGCGGAGCAGACGTACACCAAGTGCAGGTCAGGGCCAATTCGAATCCGGTTTCGACACGCAGTGTCAAACAGTGTTAGTATTAGTGCCAGTAACAATATCAACATCAATATCTATATCAAACGATCGATACACGGACGGAGTACATGGGGTGAATTAGGTCAAGGAGTTCAGGAAATCAACAAAAGAAGCGAACAAGTGAATCGAATTGAATCCTTCTAAGTTGAGTTGAGTGAGTGAGTCGGTGCTGCTTCCTTCATCTCTCTCGTACCGGGCTGGGCTGGGCATGGCGCTGCTCGCCTCCTCGCTCGCTTGCTTCTTCTCGGCCCCAGTCCATTCATTCACCGACCTAATCAACCCCACCCAACACAATACAACGCAGCACAGCACCGCACAGCAGAGCAGATAGATACATATTCCGCACTCCTAGCCCAGTCGAGCAGAGCAGGGGATGGGAGATAGATGGATCTGGGTATGGACCTGATATGGTGTAGGGGGACCAAGACTAAAGACCAAGGCATGTCTCTTTCTTTCATCTGCATCTGCTTTCCACGTCACCCATTGCAATGGTTTGTTTGTTCATTACACCACAAATCGATATCGACCATACATGCTGGCTAGACTGAGCTGAACTGAGCTGCCAGCCAATCAATCGACCATCGTGTGTGTATATGTCCGGGCGAAGGAGGGCCCACGGTCCACGGCCACGGCCTCATGTGTATGTGTGTGTGTGGGTGTGGACACATACATACGTCGGTACGTGCGTCCTTGATGGATGGCCTCATAGCCTCGTAGCCGGTCGCGTTACAGTCCATGCCTTTGTCGTCACTTATCTTTCACAGAGTTCACAAGCACTAAGGCTATTGCCCACTGCCCACACGGTCGACTCTTTGTATGTGAAGGAACAAAGGTCGTGGTCAATGTCACCATCGACAAGGGCAGCGGTTTCAAAGGTAGGCACCCAGACCTCGTGGACACTGCCTTCGCCGTACATAAAAGGCGCTCCCGCCCTCGCACTTTCTGTTTTACCCTCCTCACCATCTCACACCTTGTCGAGGAGAGACGGTGAAGGACAAGGTGTGAGATGGTAAATATATATAACTCGCTTCACAGGATGGCCTCCGACTGATCTGCATCTACACGCCCAACTTCTCCAACCACGTAGACGGCAAGCGCGTGTGACACTGCGTGAAAGATCTGAGGCTGCTCGACGCCGACGAGCCGAAGAAACCGAATGACAACAATGACAACGATGACACCGATGATCCCCCTTCGTTTCTTAGCGTCAGACTCAGAGTTTCCAACACGTACCGGTTCAGGCAGGACGTTCCTACAAGGCGGGTCTGGTCTTTCAACAAGCTAACCACTGCCACTCCAGCCAACCATGCAGAACCACCTGACTTAGGCAACTTCTTCATCGAAAAGTTAGGTCCGTGGCAGGCTTCTCCATCACCGCAGCTAGACCGCAAAAACCCAGACGTCCTACGGTATCTAAGACTCGTCTCGGTCCAGATCGATATTACCGAGAAAGAGATTAGGAAATAAACGGTCGTTCCAAAAGAAGAGATGCTCGAAAGGTAAGACCTTCAAGAGCTGGGGATTGCGATTCCTGAGATCAGTCTCTAAGGCGTCGTCTAGGAAGCCATCACAGGATCTCGAAAACGCGCCTGTGCAGATGGCATGGATAATATCGCATCCGCCGCTGACGCTTCGACAAGGATGCAGATATAACTAACTAGCGACCCCAACGAGCAAGTTGATCCCGCGGAGCTTACAGAATCCTTTAAAGAGCAACTTGGACCTACTCTCCTTAAGCAACGAGGTGCGACTTTCGCACACCAGCCTTCAACTACTGGCAGGCTCAAAATTGGCGACCCTGTTGTTTCTGTGAGGCGTGGAAAGCTATTGCTCCCGTCATAGAGGACCTAGGAAAATTCGAGGATCTCAAGAACATGGCCATGATCGCGATCACCCCAAATCATATGAAAAAGGCCAGGACTGTGCTTAAAGCTCTCTGTGAGGCGTGGAAAGCTATTACTCCCGTCATCGAGGACCTAGGAAAATTCGAGGATCTCAAGAACATGGCCATGATCGCGATCACCCCAAATCATATGAAAAAGGCCAGGACTGTGCTTGAAGCTCTCTGTGAGGCGTGGAAAACTATTACTCCCGTCATCGAGGACCTAGGAAAATTCGAGGATCTCAAGAACATGGCCATGATCGCGATCACCCCAAATCATATGAAAAAGGCCAAGACTGTGCTTAAAGCTCTCTGTGAGGCGTGGAAAACTATTACTCCCATGATAGAGAGCCCAGGAAAATTCGAGAATATCAAGAACATGGCTATGATTGCGATCACCCTGAACCACATACGTGTCGCTGACATTGACGAAAAGCTACATGGTTTCCTTGCCGAGCTTTGGATCGGCCGAGACAGAACACAGGCAGCCGATACAACAGGCAGATCAACTCAACTGGAGTGCCTCCCTACTCAACAAGCGGCTGGTATCATGAACACTCCTGGAGATGAGGCCACCCAGACTCAAGTGTCCCGAAAGCAAGTTCTTACGGGAGGAGTGGGAACCAGGCAGGTAGCCATCGTGGTAGCCATAGTAGCCTTAGCAGTAACGGCCAGGAAATGAAAACATCTCTCTCTCTCTCTCTCTCATTGTCTCTCACACACACAGGCGTGCGCATTAATGTGATCAACTAACTGAGCAGACCGACCAGGCAGGTAGACTAACAGATAGACGGACAGTGCAATCCACAAGGGCCCCTGCCAGGTAGAGACTACCGTGCATTGCAGTGCAGTGGACAAAGCGCTGGTGGTATTCACTTGCAGGCATCAAGAAATGCGCCGTAGTGCTGCCAATCTTTCACTGGGTATTCATCTCCCTCCTACATGGAAGCCTTTTCCCTGAAACTTCCTGTCACTCGCTCGTCCATCCTACTCAAGGATTAGTGCACACAGTCGGCTGAACTGCCTCCGTATATCACTATATCACTATTATCACCTGGGAGAAAATTAGCGTCAATTCCTGACCGCGCCGGCTTATCCCATTTTCTCTCCATCCTGTCTCTGTTGTCCCTTTCTTTCCTTTTTGTCTTTCACAACAAATATATATATATACTCTTTTATTCCTTCGCTGAGGCGACTTACAAACTTCCAACACGAAGGCATACTCCAGTAAGCCCATCTGTCACAACATCGTGACCCTGCCAATCTGACAGATTGTTCCAGGTTGTAATCAAAGGGGACTCACCCTCTGTGCCAAAACTGAGACTCATTTCATCAAAAGTCATTCGGAGCTTAATGCATCGAGTCCGGTACATGATACGCCTTTCGGCCATTCCTCACTGTACTGACGCTGATTTTATCAAGGCATTCTCTCCTCAGACCACCGTCGTCGCCGAGAAACAGGTCGACTCGAGAATGAACCTTCCAACACAAGAACAGGTCCACAGTGTTCAAGCATCTACGGACCAGGACCAGCCAGAAAACGACCGTTGACACCGACGCAACATTGGCTGCTTGGCAAAAGACCTGGCTTTGAGCGCCTGACAGAGAATAAGTTGGCGGAATGGAGCAAACAGACTCACGGCTACATCAAGAAGGTGGTTGACCAGTTTCAAATGTCAGAGAGAGGAACTGAAGAAGTATATTCGGCCATCACCGAGCCGCGAGTAGTGGCCAGGAAACGAAAATTTCTCTCTCTCTCTCTCTCTCTCTCACACAAACAGGGGTGCGCCTTGGCGTGGCCAACTAACCAGCCAGACCGACCGGGTAGACAGGCTGACGGACAGAGAGAAATTGCAATCCACCAAGCAGCCATGTTGCCAAGAGAAGGTGATTTCACGCCCAGGTCACCCTTCTTTGGGACGTGGGTGATGCTGCCCTATACTCCACCCCGCCTGCCGTCTTGGCATTGAATACCGAGATGACCTTCCTCACCCTCACCTTTACAACTACCCTCACTCTTACAACCATCACCCTCAGTCGACCCGATACCACTTCGAAATTCTCTCCGACAGCATCCTCAAAATGCTGCGTCAAACTTTCCGCCTTAGACAGCGTAGCACTATTCAACAAGCTACACGTTACATATCCCAAGTCCGCACTTTCCAGGCAACGGCGCGTAAGACATATCACTCAACTTCGATCGTAAAGCTATTGATATATCTATAGCTTTGTTTTCTAGTGATAAGGGCACCGGCTCTGCCCCTCACTTCAACCGAAATCTCGATGACAAGCTTAACTACTTTAACAAAGAGTTGACGGCGACGAAATCAGAGATGGCACGCCTCGTTGATAAATCGGACTTGAAATTCGCAAGCCTTGAATCAGAGATCAGACACCTTCGATCAGAGTTCAAATCAGACATGACACACCTCGAAAAGATTATCACTATGGAGATAGGGTCAAGACTGGATAAATTTGAGAATCGATTTTTGTGTCAGCCGCGCTCCCCGGCCGACAACACCCCATGGGGCCAACGGCCCTCAAGTGCCAAGGCGGCCCCCACGAAGGCACACACAGAAACAGATAAATAGGACCTCTATTCTCGCACTGCTGGAGAAGCCCTCAACAGTGCGAGAAGTCGATGTCTCAAGGACAGCTTTATACCAATCAAGATACGTGTTCAACCCTCTGACTCTTCGTCTAACGAT